AACAATCGGTTAGAATTGTGTTTTAGCAATTTATTATGAGCAGCATGTGATTCATGGTTAAATTGCATTATATCCTGAGATTAGCCTTAGTAAGGCAGTTAGATGATTGTAAAGTCTGTGCAAAAAGCCGCACTAAACATGATTAAAATAGAAGTCATTTTCATAAACATGACGAGCAATTAAAAACTATGGAACAAGCTAAGTGAGACCTCTTAATCAGTGAATGGCTTTAGCTCTCAGTGGTGCTGATTGATTTGTACTTGCACTACTGCTGTTGCCACCCAGAAAATACTACGGTAATTTAAAAAGCTGTAGTTTAACTCCCCTAAATGATGAACATTTCAAATGTGTAGTATATTTTTTAGCCCCATTCCTGTTAACATAGCTGGAGTAAATTGTTATTTTTCACTCCAAACAAATTTAATTAACGGCAGACAACTAGAGTTATTGACTGATTAAACACTCTTACTGAGACCTCTGAAGTAAATGTATGCCATAAATCTATTTCTTAAATATACATATATATTTTCAACCATTTCTGTTTAAGGTCCAGAGATATCAAGAGGGTAAAAGGTTTTAACCTGATAAAAAAAAAATAAAAACATCTTTAGATTTTAAAATAAAAAACATTAAGATAAATGTGTTTAAGATGCTGCTCTACAAGGTGGAAGATAATTTCTACTTCAACATGTGGCCTTTTGCCTAAATAGAAAGGACTATAGGTTGACCTTTTTTTAAACAGATAAAAAACACAAAACACTACTCAAGGATAATTTGCTTAACTTGTCATGGCAATATCCCAGTAAAATGTTTGTCATGGAATATAACTTTTTAAAACCTTGCAGATTTTATTTGTATATGTAAAGAAGAAAAAAAATACAATTTTAGTTTGATTTGTTTTTTTTTCTTAATACAAATACTCTGATAAATTTGTTGACATAAGTATTTCAATAATAGCATATTTTACCTTCTAAATTCAAAGATTGTCTAAATATACAGCTGGAATCGTCACGATTTCAAGGGGGGAAAAAATCCCAACAGCAAATGACTTTGATAAATATTTTAAACAGTCACATGATAAAAATATAATGATATTTAGTCAGCTTAATGAACCATCACAGTTTGTTTTAGGTCAAGAGCAGATATCAATCCTAGTGATTATGACGCTGAAACTCTGAGAAAACAGAGTCATTGAAAAGAAAGGAAATGGAAGACTGGGCAATATTTGTCTGGATTGCTCTTCATAGGAATCAATAATTCATTTCATGGCAGTTTCATATTTTCATAAAATGTGCACCACAAATAAATTATCATCAAGAGCTGTCAAATACTGTTAAACTCAAATAGTCAAGATGCAAAACGCAGAAAGCTGTGAAATCCAGCAATACATTGTTAAGAGATGAGCTAAGAAGGAGAAAGTTGCTTTAGCAAATCACCCACAGCAAAGTCAAACATGTTTAAAGTCGGAGCTGTTTAGTGACAGGAAACCGCAGAATCAGCGACCCTTTAAATAAGCTCATCTGTCAAGAAACGAGCCAATATGATATTTTTTAAACAATATTAAAATATAGCACATATAACACGATTAGAAAAACTCACTTTTTGGTGGTCTTTTTTGCCTTGGCTCTCTTCTTCCTTGCCTGGAGTGCCAGAACTGAAAAGAGAGGAGAAAATAAATCATGTTTCCATTGTTTGTTCTTCTTTAGACCTGCAGCTGACATTCGAGACAAAGCATAAAACAGTTTAGACTTATTTGAATAACAGTCCTATACTGCTTATTTATACGGAGCATTTTGACAGCGTTGGAGCTAGCTGGAGCAGAAAGGGCTTTATTTACAAAAAAAGAATCTATGGCTGCACCCCCCAACTCAGTGTCTGTGGAAACCCCGTTAAAAAAACATCACCGGGCTAACCACCAAAGCAACCGCAGGGCAACAACACTGCACTATGGCATGAAGTAATACCAGACGCCATAGCATAAATATACCACACCGTCAGAGGTTTAGGCCGTGTTAAATATAGAAAGAGCTGGAAAGCTGAAAGTACTGCGTTAATCCCGACACTGAAGCTAAAGCTAACGATGCTAACGAAGCTCGCCATAGTGCACTACGTGACAGACGCGTTGAAATAATCCAAATTCACCGGCAACGACAGCTTGTCTACACTTTACAGGGGTAACGATATAGGTGAGATCAGATATAAAATGATCACATGCACGGCCGAGGTGAGATGAAACGGTCTGCAAGGTGTCGCGAAGAGATTTACCTTTCCTCTCCATGGTGGCTGGATTCGTAGCCTAGCAGCTAGCTACTCCACCAGTGAGCAAACGTTCTGCGCATGCGCTCTGGGTCGGTTTGCCCTAAGCAGCGCTTCCCCTGTGACGTCCGTACCTGAGCTTTAAAACCGTTTTGTTTTCTTGAAGGAGCAGAAGAAACTAAAATGTTTTAATGCTCAGGCCCCAGAAAGAACTGTATATATACAATAGTATATAGAAAGAAAAAAAAAAAAAAAAAAAAAAAAAAAAATATATATATATATATATATATATATATATATATATATATATATATATATATATATATATATATATATATATATATATAGATATAGATATATAGGTCTATATATATATCAGCAAGAAGTTTCTGCGTTCGATTCCCGGCCTGGGGTCTTTCTGCATGGAGTTTGCATATTCTCCCTGAGCATGCTTGGCTTCTCTCTGGGTACTCCGGCTTCCTCCCACAGTCCAAAAACATGATTGTTAGGTTAATTGACTTGTCTAAATTCTCCTTAGGTGTGAGTGTGTGCATGAATGGTTAATTGTCTCTGTGTTGCCCTGTGATGGACTGGCGACCCTTCCAGTGTGTACCCCACCTCTCGCCCATTGACTACTGGAGATAGGCACCAGCACCCCTTGCGACCCCAGACAATGGATAATGGATATATATATATATATATATATATATATATATATATATATATATATATATATATATATATATATAAGTTTAATACAAAATTGCAGTGGCACATTACTATTGTTCTATGCAATGGATTTAGATACTTAAAGGTCTCACAATTTAATATGAAATTAGATCTTGTCCAACATTCATAGATTTTCACAACTATCCGTTATCAAGAACACTTGGATGCTCATAATAGAATGTTATTCAAATAAGAATGCTATGTGCAGAAAAAATTCTATTTTTTTACATAAATTAAAGTTAGAACCACAAACCTGTTCATATGATACAATACATGATACAATAAACTTAAAAAATGTTCTTTATTACTTCCAATCTTCCCATCAACCCAGTGTCCCTTTCACTGGTGTAGAAAAGCAGCTCAACAGCATGACACTCCCATCACCTTGGGTTTTCATTTTCAAATTAATTGAACCACGATTTATGTCTTTTAAAGCTTTGTATATTATGTATATAATCCATTCCCACTTTGAGTTTTCCCAAAATCCGAGTTGTGAAGGGCAGAAAAAGTCAGCAGCACTGGTACGGAAAAAGGGTGATGCATTTGGAAATTGGTGGGGTGAAGAACTAGCCTGAATGGAGGTGGTTTAAAAGGGACATATCTGTGTGTTCACCTGAGGAAGCAAATCAGCAATCACATAGTTTGCTTATTGCTGTGAAGTTGGAGATGCCATTATATACCTGCTTCCACAAACCCACTGTCATTTAGACAAGGCAGACAGCACTGTAAGGATGATCTTTGATTATTCCAGTGTTTTTAACACTATTCAGCTGGACTTACATTGTCAGATATTCTAGAAGGCTCAGCCTGTGACACTGTTACCAAGAAAGGACTGAGAAAATTGTTCTTCTTAAGGCAGGCAAGGTCCTGCACATCTTCTATAAGTCTTAAGAGGAGAATGTGATCTCTTCTGCCATCATTTGTTGGGTAACAGCATAAGAAGAAATTTTTCAGGAAAACTCAATTTCAAGTTTAAGAAAGCAAGCTCTGTTCTAGGAACTCCTCTAGGACCTTTGGAAATGATTTCACAAAGAACAATTCTTCATAAAATGAAGAGATCATGGACAACGGTGAGCATCTGACTGTAAAACATCGACAGTGTATTCAGTGAAAGGCTTCCCCATATTCGGCCTAAGACAGACCACAACAGAAGGTCCTTGCTGCCAGCCTCCATTAACTTGGACAATATCTTATTGAAAAAAAGGCAACAAGTTACGTTTAATTTCCTTTCGGGATTGATAAAGTATTTTTGCACTTAATGTCACGATAGGTCAGATTTTGTTGTAGGGTGGTATATTTGTTGGCACTGATGCATTGCAGCATGATGGTTCTGAGTTTCAGATCCCAGCCTTTGTGTTTGCTCTCCCTGTGAACGAATGGGTTTTCTCCATATACTCCAGCTTCCTTCCACATAAAAAAAGATTTGGCAATGTGGTCTCTCTGGGGATATATGCACAACTCCACTACTTCCCATGTTTCATTACTGTAAAAAAAAAAAAAAAAATTAACCCAGCTGTGCATTGCCATTCCCGTTATGGTTAATTAAGACACACACAGCTCCTCGCAGGCATCCGTACATGCGATTATCTTAAACACGTTAACTATTTTATTGAGGGTAATTTTGAAGGCAGCTGGTTAAATTACTTTCTCTTTATCAAGAGGGGGTTGAAGAACACATATCCCTTTCATTTTAGATCACACATCCGTAGTAACTGATGTTGGTCTACCACAAAGATTCCATTAAATATGTTGAAGTCACAGATCATTTTCATTCGTATTTAAGGAAATGTTGCAGTATACAAGTTTCTATATTCTAAGCCCTGTGTCGAGGTTTTTTTTTTCTACAGAGGAAAAAAAGCCCTGGAAATTATTTTAAATCCTGCATGCTTCTCACGGACCAACATACTTACAGTTCAGGAACACGTCCCAATTTTTCAAAAGATGTAACCTAATTCATGCATGTCACAATAAAAGCATCTATGAAATCTATTAAACTATGACACAAAATACACAAATCTCTTAAAAAATAAGTTTATTTTGTTTAAGAAGTGGAAAGTGTTGGTAAACTGCAGACCAATTTTTGCTTATAAATACTAATTCCACATAGAATAAATACAAATCCCTGTTTTACACCATTAGGCAGTTACAGGTAATAGCACGATATTGAAAATCTTAAAAGTCAACACCAACCAATGCCTTCATGAACATGCCATCATTGAATTTCTTTCCAACCATATACGCAAAAACTCCAGATACAAATGTACATATATTTAGCGCACGTTACCTAGATGTAACCAACACAGGCTCAGAAATACTTGTGAAAGAGATTAAAGGAGGTCCAAAATAGACACACACAAAAAAACGTGGTCTTTTAATTCAGCAGGGCTTGAAACTGCCTGGATAACAGAATAGGCAGACGGCCTGATTTTGTTGAAATGTTTAAATATTTTCATTTTTAGGCAAAAGAATACCTATAGAAACAAAAAAAAAAAAAACAGTACCAAAGCTTGAATTGTAGACAAGCATATCTAGTCTTTGATTTGATAGAAAACAGCTTATTAAAAAAATTTCCCAAAAAAGTTTCAAAGCCAAATCAGCACAGCTGTAGGTCGGTCTCTTAATATCAGAAGTCACAGTCAAAAGTTGAAGTTTATAGCAACAACAGTTAAAATAAAACAATTTAAATACATAAACAGATTTAAAATTTTGGCAAAAGAGGAATTTCTGAACAAAGACCAGTATCAGTGGTAAATAAATAATCATAGCTGGTCCAGTTTTCTTTTCTTATGATAGATAGACTCAGAAATAGCTTGTGTGATGTGTGCCTGAAGGCTTTTATGATAATGCACATGTTGGCAGGTTGTGGTTGCAGCTCGTCTCAACCCTCCATGTAATCAGGTGGCACAAAGCTGCACACCTCCTCATAGGTCAAACCTGCAAGAAACGTAAATACAATTATTGTGAAACTGAAGAGAAAATCTAAGTTCCTAAGATTTATTTTTCTTTACATAAACAAGTTGTTAAAACACAAAAAAAAAACGTACGCTTCCATTCATCTATTTCAAGCTCTCGGCTTTCAAAGCTCTGGTCGTAGGGCTCTGCCTCAGGCTCGTCTTCTGGGTCATGGTACTGTGAGAAGTAGGGGTGTTCCAGAGCTTCAGTTGCCGTTATCCTCTTATCTGCATCCAGAATCAGCATCTTCTCCAAAAGGTCAACAGCTTAGAATAAAAAAATTAAAAAAAACACAATGGCCAACAAATCAATAAAGCAGAATTTCAATTGGTCTGTGCTTCAGAGAAATGACATAATCTTGTTTTTGCTTGTTACCTTGTGGATTAGCGCCAATAAAAACATGCGCAAAGTTCCTCTTGGGCATAGGAGGCAAGGAGCTGACATAATTTCTAGCCTGGGAAAAAAGATCAATACAGAAAAATAAGTGTCAGACTGCATGTCATGACATTGTTTCTGTGTTACCCTCTACGTTATCCCAGAAGAGTTTGGCAGTCAAATTTCTGACTGCATAACTAAATGGGGACAAGTCATAATTTAACACACACTAAAACAACCTCTATAAATATTCAACAAACCAAAAGTTAATACTAAGGTAAACTTTTTTTTTAAATGACCATATCTATTAATAAAATCTTTCAAAAATTAGACCAAAATTTTTTATATATGGACAAATTAAATTTCTCTAGCGCTACCTTAGCATTAGAGCTCTTTTCTGTCGTAACAGAAACCACAATGGAACAATGTTAAATTATACATTTTATTATGCATATATTGACTGGGATGTATCTGTAAAATTTCAACATTTGGCTGCTCTAAGTGTTTTTCTTTTTATAAAGACACTTTTGCGTCACATCAGTAGTGATCTAATTGGTTTTTACCAGTTTCCTCCGACTCTGTTAGTCGTGCCCTGGTCCTACCTTTTAAATCAGGCTCTACCAGCTCCTTTTCAAATTGATACGCTGCATATATGAGGCAAGATAGTCTGGGTGACCAGACTACCTTGAGCTAATGCTAAGTTAGAGCTTGAGGAGCTGTAACATCTGATCAGAAGCCAAACAAAAAATTTCAATTACAAGCCTTTCAAAGAAAACAACGGAAATAGATCCACTGTTTAAAGCAGCGGTCACCAACCTTTTTAAGACCGAAGGCTACTTCATGGGTACTGAGTAATAAGGGCTACCACTACTGACCTATGAACCGAAGGGATCAGCGTTCACCTAATCATCATACATACATTTTTATTGGGAGGGAGGAAAGGAGGGAGAGAATGAAGAAAAGGAGGGAGTGAATGAAGAAGGGGAGCCTGGGCGCTGTTTCCCCCGGTGCTACTCAGATCTACCACTGTGCCGATCACATGCAAATTGGCTGATTTCCAAGCACTGCTGATTGACTGATACAAGTCTAATCTCATGTGCAATAAATCTAAACACACTGCACTCATCTTCCTCTTACGTGACATTATAATGTTCCCCCATCATCAGGGGCCACCAAACTATGCATCCCACACAGTCTCTGGCAAAATATTTATTTCAGATGTCATGAAAATACACTTAATATTATTAGGACAGGTTGTGAAGCAAACCCTCCACAATCACCGTCCCTCTACGTTTTTGTAAATTAACTGTGAATCCTTCTCACCTCCTGGCTGGGCATCCTGTTTATTAGTGCTGCTGGGGGGGTTCCTGTCAGACGCATTATTTGCTGAAGTTGGTTTATGTCTGTAGGGTTTTTGTCAAGGAGAAAAACCAAATATAAAAGTGCAAAAGCAGAGTATGTTGGAAGATTTTAAATTTCTTTTAAATCCCAGAGATATGCAATAACATTTTCTACAAAAAAATGCTGTAATGAAAACAGAATTCAAGAGGCATTTTAAAACTATAAAAACAACCATTTGAATTAGATGATTACAGGTATAGAGTAGGATTTTCATAAATTTTTTGACCAAATATCCACTCTAAAAAAAAAAAAAATGCACATGAACAACCCTGGAACGCCTATTAAACGGTGAAAGCATGCACACGCCCATTTCTCCTCGTGCACGCTCCGTTTAAAAGTTGCTGTTTTCAGCACTCACACAAGCTTACTTTCCAAAAGAAGATATGCAATTTTTTACTGTCAGACTCACCACCGGTAAGTGAAAATGGGGACGAGCACATAGGACGGCCTTACATAAATATATCACCAGAATGATTGACAATTAGGTGGACCCCTTATTTTGATGATCCACCCGAAAAAAGAACTTCCTCCAATATACCTTTGAGTAATTTTTTGGCCCATAATAACCTCATAGCAAACATGTAGTGAATTAAATACAAACACAGACTAAGCTTAGATCCAGGCTGAAGGATGGAAAATAAGATTCTAATTTAACGCAGAGTCAGAGAGGGAAAATCTCTGTTTTATGAACTCTGAAGTCTGTATGACCTCAAGCTCATCACCTCAAATGGCCAAAGTTTATTAGCATTTGGCAAACGATGATCAGATATTGGATAAAGAAAAGACCCACTGCAAATATGGAGGGTATGAATCTGGGTTTAGGATAAGATGATTGTTAAAGTCAGTATGAAGCGATGACAAGCATAATTGCTACACATCTCAGAAAAAAAATTATAATAATTTTTATGAAAATGAAGCAACTCCTTGACATAGTTGGGGAATAACACCCAAACAGTGAGAATGTTCCTTTAACTTCAATCCACATTGTGAAAAGGATACGGTCTGTGCCAGGAAACAGAGTCTTCCCCGTGAGCAGCTCTGCCATGATGCAACCCACGGACCAAATATCAACTGAAATGAAGAGAAAAATGAGAATTCATTTAAATCTTTCTTCTAAAATCTACCAACCTAAAAGGTTGTTAAAAAGTAAAACTATAATACAACCCAGTCCCCTACCCGTCTTGTTGTAGTGCATCCAGTTTAACATGATCTCTGGAGCACGATACCAGCGGGTGGCCACGTAGCCAGTCATCTCATCGTCAGTGTGCCGTGCCAAGCCGAAGTCCAATATCTGAAATTAAAACATTTGCCTATTAAAAGAGATATGACATAAAGTTGTGTTAATTAGAAAGCCTCTTCACCTTCAGCTCACAATCTTCATTTACAGCAAGGTTGCCAGGTTTCAAATCCTGCAGGGATTAAGAACAATAAATATAAATAAAAATAGTAATACAAAATATTTGGTACCAAACCCAGTTAAGACAGTAAACCTGTTCTTCCATTTTAAATAAATTATATAAACTATAAATTACCCTTAAATTTAAAATCTGCAATAGCCATAACATAATACAATGTTTCCCCTCTACTTACTTATGCTTAAACATTTCAACAAGCCTGATTCAGCTACTGTGAAACTCATTTTTACATTCTAAACAATTTTCCAAAGATTAGCATCAAGGACAAGAAGTATATATGGGATAGAAATCAAAGAGATAACTCACTCTATGAATGATGCCCGCTGAGTGGATGTACTGCAAACAAAGATCAGTTTCAGTATATTAACCTCTAATTTTTAGAAAAACGGACAGAATAAAAAATTATTAATCTGTTTTACAAAGAAAAATAAATAAATGAAAGGTTCAATAATTTTTATCAAAACAGGTTTGACTCATGTTGTTCTTAAATGGTAACTATTAAATGCCATTAATAATAGAAAATATCAGAGTAAAACCATTAAAGTTCCGGAAAACGTCGCTGCAGAGGTTTTGGTAAATCCAAGCTTTCCCTTTAAGGAGATATCTTTGGTCTAGAGACATGGAGCACTGAAGACAGGACGCTGGTTAATCACACAAACGACCAGTTATTCACACAACTGAAAGTTTTTTGGGAACAAACTGTGGCGCCCAACAAAAGCTTAAGCCTGTACATGGAGTCTTCGTCTAACATTGATTTCCATCAATGTGAGATTTTGCTCACTTTGACTATTTTGGTGGTGGAAGACGCACAGGTTGTTAAAGATTTAGAGCCCACCTCCAATTGTTATGGTGTTTTCACACTGAAAGCATTTCCAACAACCAGGGCAATGGATTTATGCCATGTTATCCCCTTGTAGAGGGTCTTTCAGGAGCGCAGTGGAGAACAAGCTTTTTTCAATCAAAATGGAAACCAGGAAACAATTATGTTGGCACAATAAGTAAGGAATCATCTAACAAAGCTTAATAGAGTCTTTAAAAAAAGCTGTTTTAATTCAACCCTAAAAGAGGACAGTTTTATCATAAGTGTCTGTGTAGCTTCTGGACTGTGCAATCTGGGAGCACCGGTGGACCCGGCGCTGCTGTTCAGCTTTCCATGATGGATAAAGCGCTGTGACTCGCTTGGTAAAATCCAGTTTCACCATAACGAGTTGAAACATTCAAGCAGCAGATAGAAGCTCCTTCTATTTAATGACAAAGTAAAGTGACAGGGGGTGGAGCTTGTCGCTCACCCTGCAAATTGCTGCCAACATGTAAGGAAGGTTCCAGTACCCAGATGTGAAGATTTTGTTGTTGAAATTGGATCCAGTGTGAACTCACTGTTAGAGATGAACAGATGTGCAAACTTCACATGCAACTAAAACACAGTTAAAGCCAATCAACAGTGAAAGAGGATTCATGTTGAAGGAACATTTAGTAAAAAGAAGTGAAACTAAACTCCAAACCACAAAGACGTATGAAATTATTAAAGAAGTGAGACCAGCACAGCTTGTTACAGAATAATCCTTACATTAAATCAGAGAAAAAGAAAAATCAGCGTTGAGCTGCTCAAATCTTATGTGGACTACAACCAACTATAAATCTATTCAAATGTTTAAATATTACTCAAACAATATCTATATCCCAGTATTTTAAATGGGTTTATTACCTTGTGCTTTTCTTGCCAAGTGATTCTGAAACACTGTCAATTTAATAAAATTGGAATATATACAGATTTGCACTACTTAAGAAACCTTACAAAAGATATAGTGAGGAAAAAAAATTCATAGCATTTGCAAAATTTGAATGTCAAAAAAAAAAGAAATCAATAGATAATAAATAGATAATAAATAAAAGAATGGAAAACTGGGAAAAGAAGAATCTCTGAAATTCAGAATTCAATTGTTTGGCATTTAAAGTTGTGGTGGCACTTATTTATGAATTTACTTATAGTTTTAGCAGTTTATTTTTTCCTATACTCTTGGGTTTAAATCAATTAATCAAATTTAAACATTAGATGTTGTTGGATATTTTGACTAGAAGAATGTTAACCCAATTACGAAGTACGAGGGTGGCAGTATTACGTTATGTGGCTGTTTTGCTGCACTTCCCTAAAATATTGAAATATAAAATGAGGAAACACTTAAGCAACAGCCTAGGAAATGTGACAATGTTCAAAATATGATTTTACTAAATAACCTCACCTTCAATCCTCGGAGGATCTGATATATGAGGAACTGCACGTGGTCATCTGAGAGTTTCTGACATTTCACAATGTTGTTTAGATCTGCTCCCATTAGATGAGTCACGAGATACCTGTCGGAAACAAAACATGCTGGTTCGTGTTGGAACAGACAATTTGAAGGGAATTTGCACAAACTGCAAAACTAAAGAGCAGTAAGATGGGAACAAAATAAATGCATATGCGCTTTGAAATGAATATTAGTAGAATAAACTGTAGCCTGCAGCTCATTTCCCACGTGGCAATAAAAGCTTAAACCAGTTTTGCAACTACTTCTTTTTACTCTTCTCTCTTGGGACACTGAAAGGTCGGGTCCTTTACAAATGTAAAGTCATTTGACAAACACACTGGATAAAGCAGCTTAATGGTACTGCATCAATGGACAGTTTAAATCCAATCCAAGGGCTGTTTAAAATGCATCAAACAGCACTTAAAGAAAACTGAGCAGGACTGCTTAGGAGGCAATAAAGGAGCCACAAATCCATCTACTCTTTCAGTCTGTTGCCCAACAAACACTAGTTTGATGAATACTGTTCTATTCTAATAGAGTGTGGAGAACAAGGGCTTAAAATAGCATGTTTCGAGCTTGAACCTTTACACTGAGATCAGACACAGACAGACACACTTAAAGGTTTCCCTGCCGTGGAAAAAACAGCATATGAGTGGCATCTATTTTCCAAGAGAAAGAAGCATAGCAGGGACATGTAGCAGACTCAACTATTTCCTTTTTTTATTTTCAGACACTCAAAAAAAAAAAGAATTCAAACATACAATCTACACATATTTCTTAAAATAACATTTAAAATTCCACTTCATCAAGGTTACTCTATCCTATAAGCTTCCAAACCTTAAAGCTAGGGAAGCATTTTAGGTCTACTGCAACAACAAGCTGCAACACAGCAGCTGTATTTTTATTTATAGCAATAATCCAAGTACATGTTTAAGTAGAGAACATGACAAAAGAAACCCACGATTACAAAATAACTGGTTCACTAGTTTTCCTCCTCAAAACCCTTTTACCAAAATGAGCTAATATGCATGTCAGATATGAAGAATGTTTAATAAATATTCATGACCCATTATAGAGTTTGCCTCGAGCAGATTTTGCTTCCCCAGAAAGTTTTGCCCTGAGCGACTTTCAGGATCACTTAATGCAGAACAATAACCACCAACAGCTCAGGAGCCGCAGCTTGCAAAGACAGAGAAAATTATATTAAAATTAAAGATTAGAGTTAGCAAAATAATCTGCTTCTTTACTCATCTGAAAGTCTTTTAGGATACAGTCAGACACAAATTTGTAGCATGGTGCAGTGCATGCAAGTTGAGGATTACAACATTGCAGCTGTTGCCTGGTTTCAAACTCCTTCAAGCATAACACTCTTTGTAATCAAACTCCCTTATCTCACACCATCTTAAAAATGTTTTAGGCCTAGATGTAGCAGCATAGCTTATGTAGAACAAGGAGTTATTGGCAGAACATTTCAGCGTAATGGCCAGTTATGCTGCCAGTTGTCCAAATGACACTGTGATTGCCTTTTAAGGTGGGTAACAGTGGGTGTGGAAATTGTGTTCTAGAACACACATGCTTGTTTACACATATTTACAAGAAATCTGTCTATTGGAGTACCTTGCATCACGTCTTTGAAAATGTTTAAAGCTGATCGATATCAACTAATTACCTGGATCAGATATCAGTGATTTTATATAACATATCCAATCCAGTCCACTTTACATGGAACTGTTATTTTGTTATTTTTACTGCTTATTTGTTAATAAATCATATTAAGTACTATTATATCTGTGTTATCTTTTAACTAGCTAAAGCCTTCACTCACATGGCAAGCTATATGGTTTATTCATTCAACAGTTGAATGGGATCAGTATTTGCGGATACGCTTAGCCCAGGTATCGGTACCGGACTGGGGGGAAAAAAAATTAAAAAAAAATGATCGGTGCATCTCTACTTCTATTTCTATTTCTCACCCATGAAAATGCAAACTTGACAAAAGAAAGAAAAAGATGTGCTCTTTATACTGCATCATAGTAGCAAACTTTGGCTGAGTCCTGTCACAGATGAGCACATATATGCTCACACCAGCAGGCAGATAGCCATAGCACTGAAGCCAGGGGTGGAGCAGCCATAGGAAGGTTTAGGAAGGATTACCAAATGGTGATATGGTCGGTATATTTATTTTTTCAAAGAAGATGAATGAAGTGCTGCTAGAAACAGTTTCTCTTTGGCAATATATTTTGCTCAGACCACAAACCCCTTTATTATGTTGTCAAATGATCCTGGTGAGGCATTTTAAACTAAGCATTTAAATTAGCAGCTATCATTTAAGGATTCAGGCAGCGGAAGGAGAGCTTTAGCAAGGGCTGGGCTCACTTCTTAACAAAGATGCAATTTTTGAAGTTTTGGTTGTACTTATACTAAAGAAAATTACCCATGCCTTGACATTTTGCTGAATTGGCTTAGGAGCAAAATGACCCAGATAGTAGGAAAGTAAAAAATGTTAAAGTTTCTCATTTTATTTTAAGCTCTTAACCACTTTCTAGCAACCTTTAGGAAACATCCCAATTAAAGGAACAAGCAAATACAGTAATTCCATAATACCGTCTGCACTCGTTGCTTGTATAACAGGAGGTTTTCTTCCTTCAGATCTTCAATGCCTTACTTGGAAAGCTGTTTTGCAGAGACACTGCTCCCACACGCACAGTGAGATATCACCACTGTTTTAAAGATAAGCAAAAAGAATCACTAAGGGAAATCGGGATTAATTAAAATCTCTTTCAGAAATGCTGCACAAATCTCCGTTCTGCACGGTTAGATTCTCTGAGAGCTGAAACCAAGTCTGCATTTAAATGAATCCAGCCGCCATCCTGCAAACACTAACACTGGCACCCATAAATACCTTTGTGGTGCACTGACGCAGGACAGATGTCCTAGGCTGAAGTCTAACAATCACACCTGCTGCCTTTGACAGTTTTTTTGCAACAAGGGACTGTAGGACTTGTGTTTTTTTAACGTTATACTGTTGCCTAAAACAGGCTGCATGCTCCAATACATCTATAATAGTACAAAAGCCCTTTTAAAAAAGCAGGAGCAGAACCAATCATGCTTAAATTGTGCGACAAGCTTAGAACTCGGTCATTTGACAAATCAGTCTTGCCCTGGGGAGAATCATTACCTTTATCAGCCTGGAGTGGTTGCTGCTGCTTTGGCTACAAACAGCAAGAAAGCCTGACAGAGTAGAATTTTCTCATTATCAATCTTGTCTGAATGAAGCTACTGTTTCTGACTCCAATTATTATAAACTACGAGGTAAGGCACTGTTTGGATGCTAAGGTAGCAAGAGGAGTGAACCATTAATGGATGTTTGCATCCCCTGAAGCAAAAGTTATCCTGTAAAAAACTCCAAACTCTGAACTTTAGGTTTTTTTGTTTTTTTTTTTAAACAGCTCATATTCCTTCAACAGCAACAATATATTAAATAATAAATATTAAAAACAAGTGATAATAGAGGAGATTCCTTTGGCAAAGGCGCACATGCGCGATCACGACGCTACGGAAGCCGGCAGACCAAACCAGATGAAAGTGCGCATTCAGCGTCTGCTCTGCCAATAATGCAAGCGTAGAAGAAGAAATGTGCCGTTTACCTGTGCAAAGAAAGAAACAACGAAAGAAAAATGTCTGAGGACTTCAGTGTTGAGGAAGAGCATGAGTTCTTTGCCGAGCTGAATGCGCTGGTTTGGTCTGCCGGCTTCCGTAGCGTCGTGATCGCGCATGTGCGCGCTTTCAGGAAATCCTATACACTACTGTTTATGCTCTAAAAACATTCTAAATGACTTTGTTTCGAGTAAATTCTGGATGCTACCCACTCAGGACACTTGGAATACATTGGAAGAGCAGTATGGAGGAATATTGAAACGTTTTTTGTGGACTTTTATGGACCTTTCTGCCTCGGGCGCTGGGCACCTCCATTATTTGAATGTCAGCAGACAGCAAGAAGCCTCCCAGATCTCCACATGCATTTGAGTACTCCAGAGTGTTGTTCAGCATGGGGGTGAGTAGAAAATGAAGGCTAATCATGTTTGGGTGTACTATTCCTTTAAAGTGGGTTTGTCGCCAGAGAAACGCCAGGGAAAAAGGGAGTTAAAGCAAGCACGCAAATCCAGATATTTTCAGACACAGCAGCTACAGTAAATTCTTTGTGTGGAAAAAGATTCTGGCAAGAAGCTTAAGGCCGTCTTGCTATCAGACATAACTTTAAACAGCAAACATCGAGTAAAAACAAAGAAAAAGAAACTTACACATCTTTGAACTCTTTTAGACTTGTAGCAGGAGAGAAAACATCTAAGAGGCCAATGACCTGCAATAAATACAAAAGTCAGAGTCAAATTAAAAGCAGAGAGGGCAGAAAGCACAACCTTCATTGCGGTGCAGAGGTCTTTAAAGAAGGAAATATTGAGCAGGGGGTAAGAACTTGATTTTAAATTTGTTTACCTCGAGAAAAAAATAAAAATAAATTAAAAAAAAGAGGAAACCAGACCACTCACATTTTCATGCTTCATGTGTTTAAGGAGCCGTAGCTCTCTGTAAGTTCTTTTGGCGTGGATGATGGACTGAAAAGGTCTGGAGAGCTTTTTCACTGCAACCTTCAAACCCAGTTTTTCATCATATGCAGAGCTGAATGAAAGAAGACAAACATTAACACCAATGTAAAAGAACTGCTAAAGATATGTGTCTGCAGTGCATTTAAATCAGTTAAAGAACTAGGACAATTCTGTAAACCAAGCTTCTCCTATTAAGGCTGACAAAGCATATTTTTATATGGCTCATATTGGGCCAAGTTTGCTCTCAAAACAAAATTAGGTGTAATAAGATGAACTGAAGGATGTGAAACGGGCAGCATCAGCAGAAAATGTCACCTTTCAACAGACTGGGACTAGACTGGCAATAATATATCCTCCCCCCTGAGAACAGACTGCTTCTTACTATGAAAGTTGCTGAAGGCTAAAAAACTACTTTCCTGAGATTTCAACAAAATGAGCAAAGCTACAGTCAAAAATGTACAAATAAATACCCTACAGTAGTTCATCATTAAACCTATCAGAAAACATTTAAATATGCACCTCATTCTTGGTAAAAGTGTTCCATCTGTGTGTTTAGATGCTTCATATGTACTAATATAGACAATATTAGAATAAATAGCAATTACGGGATAACAAAATTACAAGCACAAGAGATTTTTTTCTTCATCTCACCACAGCCTTAGTTCAACATAACCTTTCATGAATTTACGTTACTATTTGTTTTCGGGGCTTATTGTTGGACAGTGACTCAGAAAACGTGGTGCTTGCTGATATCTGGAGGATTTAGGTGATGCATGTTTTTAATTCTACTGAACTTCATGTACATTTTTATCTATTTCTTTTTTGTTTTTGTTTTTTATCTTTAAGCATATTTTAACTGTTAAAAATATGCACAAATTTATCATGCACTGACAAACTCTTCTTAATTTTTTTAAAGGTCAGATTTTTTTTGCAAATCCGCAAAACACTGGTTTTGAATGAACCACAATACAAAATAAATTCAAAATTATCCAATTCATGCATTAAAGCAACTCTTTCCTTTAGCAAGAAATAATAAAGATTTATGAAATTTCAAACTCCCTAATACACTATATTGCCAAAAGTATTTGCTCACCCATCCAAATTATTGGAATCAGGTGTTCCAATCACTTCCATGGCCACAGGTGTATAAATTCAAGCACCTAGGCATGCAGACTGTTTTTACAAACATTTGTGAAAGAATGGGTCGCTCTCAGGAGCTCAGTGAATTCCAGCGTGGAACTGTGATAGGATGCCACCTGTGCAACAAATCCAGTCGTGAAATTTCCTCGCTCCTAAATATTCCACAGTCAACTGTCAGCTGTATTATAAGAAAATGGAAGTGTTTGGGAACGACAGCAACTCAGCCACGAAGTGGTAGGCCACGTAAACTGACGGAGCGGGGTCAGCGGATGCTGACGCGCATAGTGCGAAGAGGTCGCCAACTTTCTGCAGAGTCAATCACTACAGACCTCCAAACTTCATGTGGCCTTCAGATTAGCTCAAGAACAGTGCGCAGAGAGCTTCATGGAATGGGTTTCCATGGTCGAGCAGCTGCATCCAAGCCATACATCACCAAGTGCAATGCAAAGCGTCGGATGCGGTGGTGTAAAGCACGCCGCCACTGGACTCTAGAGCAGTGGAGACGCGTTCTCTGGAGTGACGAATCGCGCTTCTCCATCTGGCAATCTGATGGACGGGTCTGGGTTTGGCGGTTGCCAGGAGAACGGTACTTGTCTGACTGCATTGTGCCAAGTGTAAAGTTTGTTGGAGGGGGGATTATGGTGTGGGGTTGTTTTTCAGGAGCTGGGCTTGGCCCCTTAGTTCCAGTGAAAGGAACTCTGAATGCTTCAGCATACCAAGACATTTTGGACAATTCCATGCTCCCAACTTTGTGGGAACAGTTTGGAGCTGGCCCCTTCCTCTTCCAACATGACTGTGCACCAGTGCACAAAGCAAGGTCCATAAAGACATGGATGACAGAGTCTGGTGTGGATGAACTTGACTGGCCTGCACAGAGTCCTGACCTCAACCCGATAGAACACCTTTGGGATGAATTAGAGCGGAGACTGAGAGCCAGGCCTTCTCGTCCAACATCAGTGTGCAACCTCACAAATGCGCTTCTGGAAGAATGGTCAAAAATTCCCATAAACACACTCCTAAACCTTGTGGACAGCCTTCCCAGAAGAGTTGAAGCTGTTCTAGCTGCAAAGGGTGGACCGACGTCATATTGAACCCTATGGATTAGGAACGGGATGTCACTTAAGCTCATATGTGAGTCAAGGCAGGTGAGCAAATACTTTTGGCAATATAGTGTATATCTTGCCAGAAGCCAATAGACACATTGACCTCAAATACAGAAATGTTTTTGGACTGATGAACTTCAGTGACGTTGTTGTGGTTGATGTCCATATGACAGCAACCATAAGGGGAAGGATGAAGCAAGAAAATAAAAATAAAAATAAATAAAAAAAGGCTGTTCCAGTTTTACCTGGAATACCTCCCCATTTCTTCTCTTTTTTAAACAAGAAATAGGAAGGGATTTGTGCTTTTGTGGATGAGAAAGCCATTTGCCTGTTGCTCCCAACTGGATGTGACAAGTTTGATTAATCAATTAACTATGCTAGTTGTGAATCAAATAAAGAATGCGAGACACCACAGCTGCCACTGCGTTTGGCTAAAAGCTTGACATGAGAGGTAGGTTCCAATTCAACTCAAACCTTTGTACTGAATGTCCTTTTTTCAAACACTTTCCAAAGGAGCCTTCCCAGATGGATGCTGTGTAGAATTCAAAATGAACAACACAGATCAATCCGGCTTGTGCCAGGTTAGCAGTTTCTTAACTTTAGCTGCATTTAGGGACTGGGAGACTGTTGGAAAAGTAGAACTTTAGCTGGAATTTAGTGAACATTAAAGGATAAACAACACGTTTGTCAATTAAAACCACAGCTTAGCAGTCAAAGTGAAAATGGACACATTTCATCCCTTGATCTTGCATTGCTGCATTATGCATCATTCTCTAACGTTCCTTTCACAAGAACCATGACTGAAAAGTTCAATTTTTATTTTGTTCTAAAATAAAACTGAATATTAATGGTTAAAAAAAAAAAAACTGTGACTATTAAATTATATAACTACTGGCCTTGACTGTTTTAATTATGAAGCATTTCCTGCTTTATAGATAAAATACAATCACTAGGGTGCTTTAGTATTAGGTAAACAGAGGGGCCCAGTCAATCCCTCATATCCTTCAGTAATAAAACCATCACTGAACTTTTTTTTTTGACATGCCTTGCTTTCTTCCTTAAACACACATGATAAAATTAACTCAGCCTTGACATGCACTATATGTTCATTCCCATAACAACTGCTTGATTTATTAAATGGAAAAGGAAAGAAAAAGAAGGTGAGGTCAGCAATGAGATCTGAACATGATTACCTCATTGCCTGGCACGCATCCCAGTTTCCATTTGAAAAACAAACACCTGCTCTCAAACTATGCCCCTATGTTTTCCCCCCCAAGATAGAATGAGGACTAAAGCTAAAGAAAACATATGAACTTTCAAATATTTTCCCAATATTACAGACCTTTTGGATGCAATATTTATATTTCTTATGCCATGCTTTAGCATGCAAATAAAACTTGCCTTGTTTGATTATCTTTCACTGCCCTTGATTCCATCTAAATCACTAAATATTCTAGCGACAGAAATGTTAAAGCTCATGAAAAGTAATTCAAGCATATAGAAGACAGAATTGAACCTTTATCAAGATAACCCTAAAAAAGTTTAGAGAAAAGTTGGAAAACTGCAAATTTTAGTGTCAATGTTTCACAATAACATATTTAAGTCATCAATGGGGATGGGCAATATAGACTTAAAACCATATGCACAATATTATAGTTTATTTGTTAAAAAAATGAAAAATGTGTTTATATAGAAACTGACTTCCTGCATGCAGAGCTAAAAGTAAATGCTCTAAACAGGGTGCATGTTTACATTGATATTCAGCAGAGCAGCTATACTGCTCATCATTAACAATATTTGTGAGGTATTGTATTTTGGAACTTAAAGAATGTCTTAATGCTTTAAAGAACAGAGCAAACAGAGCTATCACACATAAGGAACCACTCAGTCTTTCAGGTTTGCAAATATTACAATTACAGTTTTCTAGGGCTTCAAAAATATACTGAATCCCAATCCTCAGTAATATAAATATATGCCATGTAAAACGTGCTAAAGAATATTTGAAAGCAATATATGAAAGACTGCAGCAGTTCAAGTGCCATGCATTCACGTTCAGCAGCTTTAAGAACTCATCATGCAGGATGCCCACTTTTGATTATGGGAGTGGGGAAAAAACGAAAAAAAAAAAAAATCTAAAACAAAAAAAACATTTTTACCTAAAACAATGAGGGAAGATGTGCTACATCTGCACTGCCACTCTGGCAGAAAGTTAATAAGCAATTTAATAAACTTAAATTGCTTAAATCTGTACCCCCAATTAACTGAAAGGATCAGTGGATTTATTTGGAATATTTTTCACTTTACTGCTGGTTACATGACAGCATAACTTTAATCAAAAACTGAAAATATTTCTCAGAAAAACAGGCTGTGTTTGCTTTTAAGCAGTATAACAGTAATACTGAATATAAGAAATGTTGAAGCAACATATTAGAAGGTGACAAGATTTTATTGTTAGAGCACAGTTGCCTTGGTGGTGAACAGAAACAAAGAATGCAAAAAATGTCTTAAACTGCTTTTGCTTTCACCATATAATTTCATATCGTTACATCTTCGGTATATTTACCCATCCCTAGTCATTGGTCAATAAAAAAGGTTAAAAAAATATTAACTCATCCCACCAGTGGTCTACTGGTGCCCATAACAAATACTAATCTGTGACCTTTTCACACACAAATGCAAATGCTTCTGAGATGAAAATTTGTTTTCAAAGTACATTTGCTGTGGAGTTTGCAAAGAAACAAGTAGAATATAGCAGCAATTTGAGGCTGAATACATTAACAGTAGCGTTTTCTCTAAAATTTCTGTTGACCATAGTGCACATTTAAGTTATGAAATATAAAAAAACAAAACTGAAAGCAACTAATCACATAATAGCCAGGAGTAAACACATTCTTTACAAATAATTGTGAAAAAAAAGACAATAAACAGAAAAAGTACTACTTGTCCCAAGTGTTCAACCCTGATTAGATCAGATCAGTATGTAAAGTATTTAAGCCTTGAGATACACAGTGCGATTCAGTCATTTTTAGACTGCTCCTCTGAGAAGTTACAATACTAGTAATACTAGTAGTAATCTTTTAAAACCTGGATTTGTTTGTAGTTGCAAAAATTCTTAAGTCAATTCTACCTATAAGAGGTTAAATATACCTTGATAAATGTTGACAGAGTCATTCTAGCTCGACTTGCTAGCCTAACTTTAGCTACCTAAAGGCCTCTTATCAATGAAGGGAGGTGAAGTTAGGGGACTAAGGTCCGCACAATTAACTGAAATATAAAACATAATTTACCAAACTGATCCATAGGCACCAGAGCCCACCGGGGACAGATCCTGGTACCGCCGCGGGACTTCCCATATCGTTTTATTGACCTCTTGTAGGTAAAATCCAGATCTTTCTTTCTGCGACATTCCTGCAGAACCAACCGTCGACCACCAAATGTCTTTTCTTGCCCCGAGCTGCTTATTTATTCCAAGCTGAGAGAAAGCTCCGCTTCACCCGAATAATGCAAAGAAAAAAATTATTAACAGCTCCTTGTGGCAGGAGAACTACACGGTGTACTTTGTTAAGCTGTGTTCTTGGAAAAAGTTGCTGCGCTGTTGTGTGCACTCCTGAACTCACGTTTATTTAGTCCGGAGACGGTTCTTAAGCGTTCTATCTGAAGTCTCGCGAGAGGTCAGCTTCCGACTGCTGAGCGGCACGATAGGGCATTTGAGTAGAAGCGAGCAGAAGGTAAAGATGCGTTCAAGTACTTCAGAAATTAACTGTATCCGTTTTTTTATCCATACAATTTTGGTCACATTTAAATCTAGAAGGGCCATGTAAAGGGTATTAATATCATGCAGAATAAAAATAGGTATGCTTTAAAATGTAAAATATATATCTAAATGTTTTATATTATTTTGACCAAAAATATGCATTTAAAAATATACATTTCTAATGTCACTACAAATGCAATGTTGATGTCCTCAGCATGACAGACTGAATAATGTTACTCCATTTAATATAAAAACATAATCGAAAAATATATTAAACTTATGATGCCACATTAAAACTACGGTTACAGTTTTTCTACAGCTTCAGCAGCTGCATATGACCATTAATAGAATTTCTCTTCAACTGTTTTTTTTTTCTGGCCAGAAAAGAAGAGTATTAGAGTAGAAAATCTGCAGATGAGAACAGGGTGTGCTACACAATACTGCAATACATATAAACAGGAAACATTTATTGAGTGAATCTGGCAAACAAAATATTTCAAAAGAGTATGTGAAATGAGCATCCATTTTCACTAATGATGAGTTCTGTGTTTTTTTCATTTATGGAAATATTCTACTTTATAACAAACCATTTGCTTATTAGAATGTAGACAAAATAGAAAATAATATCACACAAATTCACATAATGCTGAAAAAACCTTGACTTAAAAAAAGTTTGAGTTGCATGTTACACTAAATAAAATATCAGTGGAGTTGATTCAGTTTTCCAAATAATCAAGTGAAAAATACAGCGATTTAACATGCAAGTGCACCTCAATAATGGTTAAAGAATTATACCAAATGTTTTATCATTTTATATGGAGCCAATAAGAAGGCAGTATCGGTGGTCAGCTGCTGCTGATACTTACAATAAATTTTCTATGATACTCTGTTTCAAATAAAGTATATTCATAAAGCATGTTTTAATATAAGGTTCATCAGGAACACTACAATTAGGTCAAATTCACATACTGTCACCACAGCATTATTCAACTTAACAAATAGCTAAACCAGATTTAAGAAGAAAAAAATAGTTAGGAATGGGAAAAAAAATCAACTCCATCCTAATTTACAAAGACCTTAAATTGATCACTTTTACACATCAACGTAAAGTTGAACTTTATTCAGGTTTTGATCATGTTTAAAACCCTCCAGGGGGTAAGAACCACGGCAAATTTCTGTATAAAAAGTTAGTATTTTTACTTCAGGCTTAGTATTATAGCCCGTAACATCAAACACAAAATAAAATTCCCATCGCTTATTTGAAGTTAACAAATGAAATATCTTAAAGACAAATATTTTGATACAAAGAAAATCACAGCATATTATATTTTGCTTTACAAAATGTCTAAGATCAAAAATTCACTGACGCTAAATCTCTAAAACTGAAGGCTTCTTCAGTGCTTTAAGAACTGCTTGTCCTCTGATGACAGCTTCATCAGTCTTCCTCCTCATCTTCCTCTTGCTGGTGCTGTGAAGAAGACTTAAGTGGAACAGAGTCGAATCCATCTGATGTTCTCTGTGAAAACAGTTGTAATGTCCGCTTTAATATTGAACTGCACAGTGTAAATCAAAATATGATAGTTACAAACCTCTCTGGAGAAAGACTTTATTCTGGTGAAGAAGGATTTATGGGTGAGATCCATGAGGTCATCCTCTGCATCCTCTCCCTCCATTATTGCACAGCTGTCAGCAGTCGGTAGCTCACACTCTTTACCTCCAGAGCCCATCATCAGCCTGGAATACCTATACTGCAGCCTACCAGAGGGATAACCAGATAACATCTATGGTATATGATTTGGTCATGGTCTGTATCTGCTAACGTCCTAAGACGCATTATGTTCTATAAAATGTTAAAGGATATAAAATATCTTAGTCTAACTTGCGGGTCTTCTTCCAGAAATAACAACTGAGACTGATGAGAAGCACAGCAGTGATGAGTCCAATGGAAACACCAAACTTGAGCCAGAAATCCATAGTCACACAAGCACTGACTTTTGGTGGTGGCAGAGATTTCCCTCCATAACAGTGCAGGGGCTGCTGCCACACATACGTAGTTGTCTGAGAGACAGAAAGACATATTTTCCCAGTTAAGATCTGTTTCATCAAAAGAAATATTGTCTTTTGAGCTTCTAATAGCATCCTTAATTTTGGGTTATTTTAAAAAAGCAAAAACAGCAAGTGGTTTGCTTTAGTAACGTATGATACCTGAATCCCCTTGTCGCAACTACTGATAATTTCTCTGTAGTGACTTGTAGTGCAAAGTGGGCATGCATGCTGGGTCTCCCACAGGAAGTGAAACGTACAACCATCACATGTCCCTTCAGAACAGCCACTGTTAAGGAAACAAGATCAGAAAGAAAATCACGGCCTTGAAGGGTTTCTACAAAGCGCCCCTTTACCGCCGTTTAGTTTCCGTTAGCTTAACACATCAATGGTGTCAGAGTATGAGTGCCTAAAAGAAAGGTCTGAAGCTGAACTTGGGTTCATTTGTGCAGCACCTGGGCAATATGATGCCATCTTTAACACTGGTTGTGGGGTTGCATCGAAGTCTGACAGAGGCGGACCTCCCCTGCTTGCAAGCTTGGGTTGCATCACTGGACCTGAAAAGACCATTGGCAAAACATTAACTGGTTCCAGCATGGAACTTTCTTCTTAAATAGCAAATATATTTTACTAAATAAATAAAAAAAAAATTCAAAAATATAATTTGTGTGGACTTGAAAGTATCACCATGGCCTAATCTTTTTAACTCACTAAATAACAATATTCTATTAGGAAAATTATAATATAAAACCTTCTGTAGATTATTAGATCTTAATTTCACCTAGATAATCAAGCAAACAAAAAGTATTTTATATATATAAAAAAAATGCATGCATATAAAATAAAGTGAGATAATCAGTTCATTTACTTATAATAAAATATGACGTCTGGCAGCTGAGAAGAAGCTGAAGGGAACAAGGATGCTGGAGAAGAGATGCCTTCTAGCGTTGTCTTAGTGGTCACCCCTGCAGAGATAAAACACAGGCAGCATTACTACCTGTTAGACTAAAGGCATTCAATATAAAGGTTTCATATCCATTTCTGGTCCGGTAACCCAAAAATATAACATATAGCCATCACTGGATGATGGATCCCTCTAAATAAGAAAAATAAAAAAACGTGCAATTTTTTTCATGAACTAGGCATATGGCAAAAAAAACCCAACAACAACAAAAACCACGGTTCATAGTTTGGACCTTTTTATTGGATTGCATGTGAGCTTTTGCACAGTGACATTTAAAGCTTACACCGGGTTCAGCACTGATGCTGTTGCGGTCAATGTCATCATACTTATATTTGCTGCTATAAAGAATAAAGACATTTACACAGATCATGTAAAAATATGTGAAATTTAGAAATGCTTTCTGTTCTCATCCGATTAAAATTAAATTGCAAACTTTGACCTACATAAGAATAGTTAAATTTACCAATATCAGATTTAAACAGTTTGACAAAAATGAACATGCTTTATTTTGTTTTCAGAACATTAAATCTGATTATGATGAGCATTTTCTGAAAGCGATTAGTCACTCCAGAAAGTAATTAAATAGTTTTGCAATATATGACAGAGCTGAGCAATGAATATTTTTTAAATATGCTAAAGAAAAAATGTTAAACTGCAAGGTACTCAAGTAAGAAGTGTAGGAAAATTTCAGGTGGGTAAAGCTTGGGAAAAAAAAACAACCTCACATGTAGATACAACAATTGGGTCATTTACACACTTGAATCATTTTTTTTCCAAACCACACAGGATAAGTGTTTCTTTTTAAAGTGCACTAAGAGGTGCAGCATCACAGTGCCCTTTCCCTATGGACCCTCATGAAAAATCCCCCTTTATCATATTAATGTGTTAATAGTTTGTCAATCTTTTGCTGCTATATGTTAAGTCATTTTGACCTGCATTTGCATCTGCAGTCTAAAACTTCACCCAAATACCTTCTCTAACACAAATATCTAACCTGATATTAGCATGTAGTAACGTTCAGCAAAATGCTACAAAGATATGAAGTCATTTAGAGCAGTGTTTTTCAACCCTGGTCCTCAAGGCACACTGCTCTGCATGTTTTAGATGTTTCTGAGCTTCAGCACACCTGATTCAGATGACTGCAGTTCAGCAAAGCCTGATAATCTGCTATCAATTGATAACAGGTGTGTGAAAGCTGGCAAACATCTAAAACATGCAGGGAAGTGTGCCTTGAGGACCAGGGTTGAAAAACACTGATTTAGAGCAATGGAAAGCTTCAGATTAAGTCCATACCAATGAGCGAGTCTCCAATGATGACTGGTTGAGAAGAAACCAGGCTCTGACTTCGGATGTCAGAAGGAACCAGGGTGGATTGACATATGTAGCCTTTGAGCACTTTTTCACTTTCAGTTACGTTGTCCACACAGGAGGCAGGTACTCGACTCTGTGGGAGAAGGACTCTCAAATTGAGCACCACTACCTTAAAAACAAAAGTCTTTAGGATCAGTGTCTCACCTCTGTTCCACACAGATTCAAATTAAAGAGATGAAAATATCGCAGGCCTCTGCTGGTGAAACGGGGGTTGCTGGTGATGCTGGTGACATTAGACAGGGGAGAAAAATCGTAGGTCTGCATAGCCTCTCCTTCCTTCTGAACCCTGAACGTACAGCCGCTGAGACAAGCTGTGTAGACCTGCAGATTGGGAGTCAAATTTTCATTCTATGCTGTTCAGTGTGGGAGGATTTACTTAACGATTTGATCTGATCTTCGGTGGAAAACCAGAAAAAAAACAAAGTGTAAGAGAAAATCAGGTACAATTATGAGATAGATCACATTCTGCTTTTGCTGGTTTAGTGAGTTACTTCTTGAAGGTTTGTCTTTCTAGGGTAAAGGGATTTAATGCACTAAAAAGTGTGGATGATGAGAATGATAAAACAAATGTTTGCCTTTACAGCCAGTGGGGGTGGGGGGGGTGAAGACTGTTCTGTTTTTTCACCTCTGCTAAATACATTAAAATGCTAGAATCCTAATCCAGTTGGTTACACTTTAGTTTGACAGTTTAGTCTAAAAAACACAAGTTTGTAAAATAAGAGGAAAAACAATAACCAGCCTTTCAAAGCCCTCAGAATATTACCCTGTTTGTCTTTGTGTTTGGTCCACACTGGACGCATGCTGTCTCTCCAACAGGCTGACTGGCTTTGATGAAGGTATTTGGTGGACATCTCTCACATGCTCCTGTGCCATTGGCCATATAGTGTCCAGGTGGGCATGGGACACAGGAGGAGTCCTTATTGGATGTGGCAGGACAGCGGCGACACTGAAAGGCCACTCCTCCAATCACATTGGTGATGTGGATGGAGTAGATCTTTGCTGCATCAGTGCTATAGTTCCTGTCCTGAGAGGTCAGAAACATAGTTACTCATTTTTAGAGAGTCAATAGTATCCTACTCTTTATACTATAATGCAGTTCAAAACCTGTGAAAAGGAAGCATTATACTACAGGAGCAAGAGGACTAGAGTAGAGTTTATTATACAACTCAATACTGCCATCTAGAGTTGAATAAACAGTTAAGAGTTTAAATCATTTTTACACAGAACTGCAGCTGTTGCTATATGCCATGCAATGATGCTGATATTTCTCTAAGTGCACTGTGTAAACATTCATATGTGCTTTGTATTGGACTCTTGGACACTCCAATTAATAAATGTCCATACAGATGTTTATATATAGTACTGTATGTTTTTTTTTTTTTTTTTTTTTTTTTTTACAACAATAATATGGTTGTGATGGCTGGATTTCTGTCTTCTTGGGGAAAAAATGTTGACATTCTCCTTTGGACCAATCTTTTTCAGAATTGTAAAAGTTTTTATTAAGAGTTACCAATGTTTACATTTTGATCACTGCTGCACTTTATAAATGGCAACGTTCATATTAACTGCTAAGCTGCTGCTCATTCACTGTCGGAAAGCTGTATGCATCAAATTTCTTTTGTACACTCTCTGTATACAAAATGACAATAAAGTTTGTCTAAGTCTAAGCCTATTAAGTTAAGATAATTAAAATACAAACTATGTTGAACATCCTCTGCAAATGAATCAGGTTGTTTGATCATTAAACATTCTTAATATATGGAAATTTTATGTTTGCATTAAACTTTACTCTCAAAATAGAATTAGAAATAAGTAAAATAGTTTTATTAATTCCTCCAGAATACTCAAACTCGCATTCGCCACAGCTACAAGAATAAAAGGGCTCAATCATCTTCTCAGCGTGTCATCAAATTTGGCAGAGGCCTGTTAATGAGCCATCCATTTGATCTAGGTGTGTTAGAGCAGAAATGTTACTAAAAGCTGCTGTTTTTTGCCTCTTGAGAACTGAATTAGAGAACCCTATCAGTAATCCATTGAAAATACAGTGATAGAAGAAGAACATTTCTTATAATTGTGTTTTTAGATTCGATTTTTCCTTCAACTGAAAGATCAGCTCATTGTGCAACATGAAGTCCAGGGGGTAACTTCCTAATCCCTGCAGCTAGTTTTGAACTTTAACATCTAGGATGAAAGAAAATTGTGTGTTTGTGTCTCTAGGCTGGCAGGCATAGCTGGAGGGTAAAAAGTGAGCTGTGACTGTCAAATGTGTGATGCATCGCACCATGCTGAGGTCCTCAGTGCGTTGAAAGGTCCATGTGAAGCTGACGGTGTTGTTGTTCTGGATCAGGTAAGTGTATGACTGCTTGCCATTTCTGCCCTTCCACTGCTCCACCAAATGATTACTCCACTTACTATAACCCTGCAGCAAAATAATATGCATGCATTCCTAACTCATGTCAGGGAGAAAAAAAAAAAAATGAACAAAATAAAAACAAAAATCAAAAACAAAAAATACTCACCGCTAAGAAGTAGAAACTGCAGACAGACGTACAGATGGTCTCAAACACAAAGGTGATACGAGACAGTTCACTCCGTTCATTGGCTTTTGCCATGGTCTGAGCCCTTATATAACCAAGAAACAGTTAATTAAACTTTACTCTTAGATAAAAGTCACATAATTGTCTCATTATCATTAACATCCTACCATGTATGAAAACAATGCATTATTTTCCTTCCATTTCCAAATTTGCCATTATTTTATATTGGCACATCTCTTAAAATTAGTGTTGCACTGATACCGATACCAGAATCGGACGGGTTCCTGATCCAGCACTAAATTGGTGGTATCTGTATCGGTGAGTAGCAACAAATAAGGCCATTTTGAGAGCCAAAAGTTTATTCAACTATTGTCACCCGTTCCAGGTAGGCAAAAAAAAAGTTCTACTGAATTCACTTAGTATTAGTCTTTTTTTCTGCTTCACAAACAAAGGCAGCAGCTTGACAAAGCCATGATGGCAATTATTTTACAACCGAGTAGTATGCAATTCTTCAGATATACACAAACACATCAATTTCAGACAGATGGTATTGGTATGGTATCGATATCGGCCAATACTAAACAGCCAGGTATCGGGGCCAAAAAATGGCATTGGCACAACACTTCTTAAAATCCCAGTGAAATACATTGAGATCATGTGATTACAGGTATGAATCCTTTAGTTAGGTGCTTCTAGCAATCAGAAAACTTTTAGACATAATAAATAAAACTTGGAAGACTCAATGTTAGTGCTGCATTTGGAATATTCTCACCTGTACCCAGGAACGTTGAGGGTCAGCGTCAGGTAGTCAGTGTCCTGAAACCCTGGGATGGTGTAGATATACTCTCCAGCTACTTCCCATGCTGCCATTAGATATTTCATCAGTAACGACAATAGTAGTAACATTTTAATCCAGATTATTCAAACTGGAAGATGAACCCAACATTTGTTACTCAAACCACATAATATACCTCCTCATGGAGAGTAAAGCCTGAGCGCCCCAGTTACAAAAGGACTAAAATGTGGTAAATTATTCTGTCCCAAACTTGCCTGTAAAGAAAAGTATCCACACAGCTTCTGCTGTGACATATTGTTTTCTGTGTTTTATAAAAAGGTCAACAGTTAAAACATTTAAAAAATCTGTAAATGTAACTAAGTTGTGACATTAAGACATTTTCGAAATAATATTAACTTTAGAGTTACCGTGCATGTTTAAGTTTGGTATCTTCTTCGATCTCTGACTATTTCACCCCTTCACTCATTTTCCCATTTTGATTCAAAGCTACCAAAGCTAGAAGCTGGTGTCTCACCTATTCTCCGCTCTGAGTTGCTGAACTCCTCATGAAAGACAGTGCTCTCCATGTTCCTCGGCAAAGTGTTCCACCACTTGTACTCGAATCCCAGCAGTGGTTCTGTGCCAACAGGGCACTTTTTACAAACTGTCAATAAACAAGAAAATATAGAAAAATGTGTGTATTCTATCAATATATGGTAGTATGTTATACATTCATCTGTTGTTTATTATGCTATTTCAGTGCTTGGATGAAATTAGTCAAGTCCTCTATTTGTAAATATATTGTTAAAAATTTTCCAGCTATTAAAAACATTCTTACTAAACCCCTTAAAACCAGACTCTGGCTTCCTCAGTAAGTTGAATATGCATATACCATCAGATGTAGATGATAAATGTAGTATCAGACTGTTTAACTCAATTTATTTTCACTTTTCTCCGAAAATAAAGGCCATCTATTGGAGACACATACTGCAAATTTATTATTTACCGTTAATTTGAGTAGATAAATAGGATGATTTGCCAATGGAATCAGTATTTTTACTCTTAAAATAATATAATTAGATAATATGCGCTTGAAATAAGACAATGCAATTGTTTTTTCTTATTTTAGATGTAAATTGTCTTGTTCCATTGGCAAAGTGTCTCACTTACCTCCTCAATTCAACAAAAATGCAGTCTTTTTAAGAAAAAAAAAAAAGACTTGCTTAGATTTACATTTTTGCAGTGCATGGACCTGAGGACTGATACGGAACTGCAAATTTCCACTAATGTCCCAGTGAAATCTCCTTCATGTTTACAAGAAAAGAGGACCAATGTGAGTACAGAATGAGCACCTTTTCCATCTGAGTAGGAATCGTTGCTGCAGGGCTCACAACCTGAAGAGTTGGTCACAAAGAAGCCTGGGTTACATGGCGGACATGTCTGTTTCTCGCCTGATGCTGGAAGCCTCACCGCTCCTTCAATAACCTCGCTGCAGATCTTTGGTTCGATCCATTTGTACATGAGCTGAGTCTGAGACGCACAGGCAAACAGAACATTTGAAAAAATTATTTTGCACTGCTTTACAAAACCCTTAACATTTCACATTTTTGACATTACACCCAAATATTCAGAATTATTTTATTGATATTTCATCTCAGTAAATATAATTGTTTTGTGTGTATGTATTCAGATCCTTTGGGTTTAACAGGTTTGCTGTAAGCAAAGGTGTACGTTTTGTTGGTGCATGTATCTGATAACTACAGACTAAAATTTTTCTGCCTTTTCTTTGCTAAATAGCTCAAACCTGGTCAAAATTAATGGAGAATATCTGTGAACACCAGGTTTCCAGGCTTGCAACTGACTTTTTAAATTAGATTCAGGTCACAGGCACTTTGACTATACCGATCTAAGATATGAATAAAAGTGTATCTATTTTTTTTTTTTATTGTAGCTCTGGTTATTGGAAGTTAAAGATCCAGCCCAGTTTACAGTTATATGTATATTCTGTTTCCCGTAATAAAGAAAAGGATCCCCCTGGCATAATGCTGCCACTTCCATGTTTTATTGTGGATGATGTTCCAAAACACAAATGCATGCCACACTTTGTTTTCAGTGTTGAAAGATATTTGATAGTAGCTAACAAAATAATTACGGTTTATTGTTATAATTATATTTGACAATCACTCTAAACAGCCTGATAATTATGGTTACATCAGATGGGTGCATTCATTATTTCTGTTGTTCTTTGGTTCTGCCAAACAGGAAAGCAGATCTCTGATTACCTTTCCCTCAGAGTCGCATGGGGTGTGGGTGTAAAAGTAGTCACTGTTTGTACATGCAGGTCTTGGTTTACAGCTCCCTGAACCAGGTACTGGTGACATGAAAAAGGCAAGCAAAAACAGAGCTGAAAGATGTGAACGAGAATAAAACTCACATTAAGATTTTGTAAAAAGGCCTCTCAGTCGCCACTTAAATGTTTAACTTTACATGCCGACTTCATTGTGTTAGTGAAACTAGACAACATTTCATGGCTGCAGGTGTACAGGATATATGGAGAAGCATACCAGCATATTTGTCTGGTTCACAATCATGGCAAACAGTGGCGCCCTTGTTGGAGTAGGTATCAGCGGGGCAGGGGATGCAGCGAGCAGATCCTGCTTTTGAGCTGTGTGTGCCGGGTTTGCAGTGGAAACACTCAGATGTGTAGGCAACTCCTAGAGGAAAAAGATCAATCAGCAATTAATCATTAACAGGCAAAGGCAGTTTGGGGAGAAAACAAAACATTTAGGCTTCCAGACACACATAAAGGAAGCTTTTGATGTACCTGAGACCTGAATATTTCTTAACAGCACAGGTGTGACAGCACTGCCCTGCCAATCATATGCTGCAGTCCGCCAATACAGAACGTTGTTTCCTTTGCTCAGCTCTACCTGCAAAGAGGAAGTGTGAACTAATTACAGAGTTTTTCTTCTAAAGGAAAAATGATGGGATTGTGTTGAAGTGTACAAACCTTGTAGTTACTCCAGCTGCTTTCTGAAATCCTCATCCACCGACTCTCGGAATCTGTGGACTGACACTGGTCGTTCTGAACCTAAAAGAGAAATGAAGATTTTACCCAATATTTTCTCATTTTCTTGAAAACGTATACACAGCTTCTGTACTTACAAAGAACTCAAAATAGATGTTGCTGTCCGGGTAGAAATATTCAAAGTAGAGAGATCCTGGTTTCTTCAGGTTCACAGCATAAGAGAGCGTTGCAGTGCACTCATCTGTGTTGGAGGCCACATATTCACCCTTTGGTGTCCAGGTGGAGCTGCAAGAGCATCATCAGTACAGAAACGGTTTATCGAAACCCTCAAGACATAAGGAAGGCAATATGTAACAATGCATTCATGTTTACACTCACTTAGAACAGTTGATATTGGCATTCCCTTCATTTATCATCATCCCATGAGTGATAAAACCCATTGGTAGGTTGTCCCAGTCTTCAAAGGCGATGCTGGTTCCGGAAGAGTAGGTGCCTGCAGAGCACTTCTGGCACTGCTGTGACTGCATGTCAAGGAACTCTCCTTCATTGCAAGAAAAAGCTAAACACAAAAAAAAATATAGAAAATTAACCTAAAGCAGAGAAACAATACTACTTTACTTTAAGTTTAAAGCCTCTCTAATACAATTAAATGTGATCTACCTGGACACAGATTTATATTTAGAGGTAAACAAATGTGTGAAATAGGGTTCCAGGTGGGGTTGGTTTCTTACTGCAGTAAGTCCCTTTGACTGGATCTGGGAGGCCTGTGCACGTTTCTGCTTTGTTGGGAATCGCTACCCTCCATCGTGACCCGAGCACATCACACTCTGTATACTCAAAGTGATAATCTGACTGTGGAGGAAAAACACAGGTGTGAGTTTCACACAGATGGCCCAACAGAGTGAATGACACATGAGATGCAAACAAGCCGGCAAAAAAGGCAGAAAAAAGCTTGAAAAATGTCATCGAAGTTAGAATATTGAAAAAGAAGAGCACCTTGCTTTGAAATTAGATCACTGGGTCATTGTGTACTTCTGGTATTTTAATCCTCTACCCAGTCCAGCCTCCTTGACAAATAAAAGGATAGGCTAATATTTGCTATGGAGGCTGTTTCAACTGTTAAACTTATCAAGGAAGTGCTTCAGTTTATCTAAAGACCTCAGGTGTTATATAGTGAGCTGAAGGAAGAAAAACCAACTCTTATAACTCTTCTGTAAACATGCATGTCTTCCAAGAACAACAGAGCTACATGTAAAATGTTTTAACCCATCCCACCAAAAGTAATGTACTTTGGGAAATGACCAGATGTGACTCAAACAGGAGTCAATCCAGGATAACTAAGCTCTTGATAATCTGTAGATCTGGTCTCTGGTCAACAACAAGGTGTAATATTCCAGGGAAGGTCGCTCAGTAGACCAATCAGGGTCTTCTGGGATTAATAGTTAACAGAAACAGCTGTACCAGCACTGCTCTGCCCCCTTTTTTTTCTTTTAAAGCCTCTGCATTAGCTGACCTTAGGAAATGAACGTGTGTTTGAGTGGGGGAGTCTAATGTTAAAATGCAGCAAACTGGAGATGCATGGGTCTTAACTTAATCACCTTCTTTGAACAAACATGAGGAAACCAAGGCAACAGTTCATCATGTCAGCTGCTCTTCATGGTCAATGAAGCTGGCATGGAAACCTGCTCTGGATTGCTCCTAAATGTATATTCTAACACATTACGGAAACTCCACAAAAAGGAAAAACTCTTTGCACTACTCTAAGTGAGTCGTCTTCAAATTCAGGGGATATAAAAACCGTTTTGGGTGCTATGAAAATGAACTGCTGTTATGCAAACTGAAAACTGATACGGGAGTATGCTGAGAGCAGAGCAGATAGCGCAACATATGAAGTTTGTAGTAAGGAAAAAGTATATCTGATAATCATATCAAGAACAGATGGGAGCAGATTTAAGTACAAGCCATTGTTATAAAGAAATTGGTGTTCTTCCTACAGAAATGTCAGAAAAGTCAAGAGACAGCCTTTTTATATCTTTTGGAAGAAAAACAGCTCTAACAACAGAAAACATTTCTCAAAGTTCATTTATCATAAAACACTGTTTCCTCTAATTATATCTATCTTAAATAGGATTGAATTAAGTTGCAAAGTTGAATATTTCCTGATTATTAATTGTTCTTAACAGCAGCACCTCTAAGCATTTGTCTCACCATCTGTCACCAGCCATGACATTAACAGAAGAAAATATAGTAAAAGGTAATGCAACTGTTGTTAACAGCGGTATAAATCTTCTCACCTCTTTGCACATAGGCAGATCTGCACAGGTATATGTGACAAGCACCCAAAGCAGAAAAAAACAAAGAGTGCAGATCCTCAGGTGGCCCGGACCTCGCTCCATCATAGCTGTGGTGGTGCTGAAGTGATGCAGCGGTGTTGATTCAGGCCCTCAGGTGCTTCATGTCTGACTGTAGGAGGTGTGGCTTACCTTTAGCTGTGAGCAAATAGGAAGAGATAATTGGCCTTAAATAATGGATAAGGTGTTCAACATTGTTTACCATCATAATGATGCATTATTTAGTCCATAAGATACAATAAATATACTTATAAATTAGACTGGATTAAGTTGATAACCTTAATTTTATTATTGTTAAAAGACATGTCAGCAATACCCTTCATTTACGTATAGCTAGAGCAAACAAACTGCACATCTAGAACACATTTCTATGAAAAAAGTACTTTCCTTATATTTTTTAAGTTTATCTTGCTTTTTACTCTAAATATACACTTGTTTACTTTTCACATTTTCATACAATTATACCTTAAATGGAAACAAGCTTGAATTGAAGATCCCTAAAATAAAATCATTGCAGGTGTGAAGCTTAATTTAGATATTTTTATTTAATGGTGCTTCATCTAGCGACGATAGAAATTACAAAAACAAAACCAATATATAGCTGCAAATCCCAGATAAGAAGTTTACGATGGTATAAATGTAGATAAATGGTCCTATATTTATTAGGTTAGTTAATAAAGTAAGATATTATCCATGCAACTTGCAAAAACGGAATGAAATTAATTCGGTGAAAGATTAGTTTTAACTTTAGAAAGAAAGAAACGCTCTAAAATGGGTCCTACAAGCATTTGCCGGACACCAGTTGATAAACAACGTAACTTAAAGCTGATCGTAGTATTTTATTGCTTCATAAAGCAAGGTTTGTTGCCCTTTTTAAGGAAATATTTCAAACAAGTCACTAATGTTGAGGTGACTTTTCTGTGAATTCTTCCTTCATGATATTGTCCTCTAATTTAGACAGAAGACAGAAGTTTCACAATTACAATAGATCCTTGATTGTATGTATGACCCAGACCAGGAAACTGTCATCCTGCTGACAATCAGATAAAATTGTAATCAGTCAGACCTTAATTTACATATATTTCAGTGAAGCAGTATTGCATTGGATTAATACAGTTGTGCTTGAAAAAGCACACAAATAATTGAATTTGTCCCAGACAAATTAAAGTACCTTGCTCTTGAAAAGTGAATCAGCATACCCATCAACAGGTAACTTTACCTCAATTTCAGTGATTTCCTATGTATATATATATATATATGCACATATAAAAAAAAAGATATCAGCTGAGGTCTTTATGACTTTAATGAAAGGGTATTTAAACTTTCAAGAAATGCTAGCTGAGCTGTGGGTTTAAAAAACTAAGGAGTTGGCTAACAAAAAGCAGATTAAAACAGGTTGTTTTCAATGTTGCTTTATCATTATCTTTAGTTTGATTTACTTTGGTGATTTATAAATTCATTTTGAGCTGAACTGTCTCAAGTTGTCTTTAGATGCTGCAACTTGATACTGGGCTTAGATTAGTTAGGACGAAAACGTCTACTCAGATAAACCAGACCTTTTAGAGGCCTTGACCTTTTGTTTGTGCATAAAAGGAAAACTACTTCTCGAAAAAGGACTTCAATACAATTAAACTATAGTGTTACAGAGCATTTAAATGTGAATTTATATGCACTTAATTTATTCAGGTTTCAGCCTAATTAAAAAAATGTATCCAATCTATATTCTCATAAAAAAAGACAGCAGCTGTGCTATTTTATGAAACTTTTAAATGTTAGCCTTTGTTTGTATTCTACCATGTACATTTAATTAGTTAAATGTAAAAGATTTTTCAGTTTCTCATTTAAAAGTGAATCCTACATTAGTAAAAATGTTATCACAGCTAAATGACACTAAAACACCTTTCATCATGAAATTTTCTTAAATGTTTTTTTTTTTTTAAACCTAAACTTCAGGGACTTTTATTTATGTTGATATAGGAATATTGTTAAGTTTACCCCTTTGTTTTTTCTCTTTTGAGCAGAAAAAAACATTTAGGAAACCCAATCATGTCACCCAAAGAGAAGAACCCTGGGGATGCCTCTATATCACTGCTACCCTAGCCAGCGTAATGTTGTGAATATTTAGGTTAGTTATCATGTCACTATGCTTATTAGATACAGCCAGAAACCATGATGCACTTTCAGCCAGTTGTTTTCTCCTTTTTTAACCTCAAAATTCCAAAAGACCAGCTAAGCTTGGTGTATGACCACCATAAGAACTTCTTCTGGAGCAAGAATCAAATGTTGTGCCAGAGGAAAACTCTCAATGAGGATGATTGGTGTGTGTTAGGAAGGGGATTTTTGTCTCAGAGGTATTCCAGAAAGTCACCCCACTGGGATTTTTCTGAAGGAAAAATTAATACTTGCAGAAGCAGAGGAGACAAATAAAGAAGAGTGAGAATGACATCAGGGTTTGAAGGTAAAAAATAGGGTGTTATTATAAAACTAGTTCCTTGGTTGTAGAAAATTATTTATCTAACAAAAAGCTCATTCCACCTTTTTCATATTAGCATATGAACTCTTAAGTAGCGTTCCATTCTGAATCCCTTGGTTTCAATTTGAGGTTGGTCCCATACTGGCAGATTTAAGGGCTTCAACTCCTCTGGGAAGTGAATTTGAGTTCATAGATGTTGACTCCATTTCATTCCGTAAGTTTTCTATTGGGTTGGTATCAGGGCTCTGTACCGGCCAATCAATCTCCTCCACGTCTTTGGATCATTGGTGTATAGTCACGTTAGGAAAGAGGTGATCTCCAAACTGATCCCACAAAGCTGGGTGCATCCAATTATCCTAAATCTGTTGGTACGTTGAAGCATGAAGAGTTCCTTTTTTTGGAACTTGTCAGACAAGTGCTGTTCTCCTTGCACCAAACAATCAGACTCTTCCAAGTGGAGTAACACAATTTATCACAACAGGAAGTTTGGAGGTCTGTAGCTATTGACTATGTAGAAAGTTTGCCACCTTTTCAAATAATATACTGGCACCACCCAGTCAGGCAAATTCACTAGATTTGTTCCACATGTGGAATCTTATCACAGCAGCACAATGGGTGAGAAAAAAATAAATGAATAAATCACTGAGCTCCTGGTACTCAAACCATTTTTTATATGAATGAATCATATATAGGTGCTTGGTTTTATACACCTGTTTATGGAAGTGATTGGAAGACTTGATTCCAATGATTTACATGGGTAAGTAAATACATTAATATAGTGAAAGTAATACTATTTGAACCTGTGAATGTTTTCCTTCACAGATTTTTTCAACCCAGAGAAGCTGAAGATGTATGGAACAAATAGAACATTAACATAATTTCAGGATGAGACGTCAAGAACTACAACCTGCAACTGCTGCTAAACATAAAGGCCTGATATTAAAACTGTCTTCTCAGAGTTTTTGTTGCCAATGTCTTCAGTGAACAGAGCAACAAAATAGAAAAAAACTAACACTGAACTTAAAGAAATTGTTTTGATACTTTTGTTTCTTCTTTTTCACCATTTTAAAGAGAACACAGAAACAATTAAGTAAATTATATATATATATATATATATATATATATATATATATATATATATATATATATATATATATATATATATATATATATATATATATATATATATATATATATATATATATATATTCCTCAATGGAAAGAGAAAAGTGCAAACTGAAAATATGTACAAATGAAAACCATTGTCAGTTGTTTTTTTTTGCACCGTTTGATGAAAGCTGATGTGTTCCACTAATTGGGAGGAAGCATGTGAGGCCCATTATAGATGCAAAGAACGGTCATCTCCTCAGCGTACCCTACATTCTGCGGAAGCTTCAATAAAAAAAAAATAGAAACGCCATTAGAGTTAAGAACAAGAAAACTGTCTCACAGATTACAGGTCATTAACAAGAAGAAAAAAAAACATATAACATAATATTAAAAGGACTAATTAGGACAATTTGGTATTTTTATAGTAATAATATATATAAGTAATATTATAGATAGAAATATATAGATAAATAAACTCAAGTATCTTTATGAATAGAGCCATTCTGATTCACACTCCACGCCAGTAGGTGGCGGTAATGCTCACCTAACGTTTTTGCCAACCGCCATAAATCTTTGTAGAAGAAGAAGAAGTAGCATCTCCTGCTGGTTTTCGAAGTTATGGCGGAGACGAGTAAACGGCAGCGGATTAGCCGCATTCAGAACATTTTACAGAATGCTTCTCCAGTAGCTATTGGTTCCTTTGTGGAGGGCTCCATACGTCGCATCACAATGAAAAACTTCCTGTAAGTTGTGTTTCCCCCGCTTTCAACCTGCAACTGACTCTAACTGCTTTAGACAGAAACTTTGATGGCTGCCAAGCTAGCTGCTGTTTGACAACCGCTCCTTTCAGCTGAAATAAGCAGAGCAGGATCCCCAACCGACAAACAAACGCCAGCAGTGATTAACATGAGACGATACGCTGATTTTCAGACCTAAAGGCCAGAACACACCGGTCACGTATGACTTTTTAATCTCCGAGTCAGTTTTGGAGACTCGTGCAAAAACAATGAAGGAAACATTAGAAAAATAATTCTTTACGCATGATAGTTCAGGGGCACAGAAAAGGTAGAAAATAGTGAGGCTCTTTGAGACTCACAAAAACAAAATAACGAGGTGCAGACAGATCAGGTAAGACCGGCGTATGATGACCTCTTAAAGAAAATAAAAGACAAAAACTTGACAGATCTCTCTGCCTCAGTCAGCATATAAACCGCCCAGACAGACTCATTAAGTTGGGCTTTGCTTTGTAGAATGCGCCCTTTTTTTTTCAATTACTGATCATAATAGCTTTAATTTGTGTAGCACAGAGACGGAAGTGAACAAAATCCGCCCAGATCTGCTCACACAGGAGGGCAGCATACAACATCAGTTTACTTAACCACAGCTGGGCTCCAATGAGGCAGCAGAACCATTTTAAGGAGGATCAGAAGAAATTGACAGCATGTGAGTTAAATATGAGTGCCAGAGCAAAGGGTCTGAATACTTATGACCGTTTGATATTTCAGTTTTTCTTTTTTAGTAAATTTGCAAAAATGTCAACCTTATTTTGTCAAGATGGGGTGCTGAGTGCACATTAATGAGAGATAAAATAAACTGTATTGATTTTAGCAAATGACTGCAATGAAACAAAGAGTGAAAAATATAAAGACCTCTGAATACTTTCAAAGTCTTTCATGGCGCCCCAGATTCCTGGCGGCGCCCCTGTTCCCACTAAAGCAGATGTGTTTTACTGTGTGACCGTGTCTCTCCTGTCAAACCCATGAAAAATTCGCTGAATTGCTGAGTAGTCTGACTAAAACAGACCTGGGGTCTCAGTCAGAGGTACACAAGCTCACTTGCGTAAAATCGTGTCAGGTGTGATCATCCCCTTGACTTTCAATTTAGATAAACTCCTCATTTTTAATAAAAAGCAGAGTAAGGAACACTACAATGTGAAATATGGTGCTCTGATTGATTGAGACCAAAACTGAACTTTGTGGCCAACACTGCAGTAACACCAAGATGGCTTCTTTGGTGCACTGACATGTAGGGGTTAGTATTGGCATATGTGTTGCTGATCTTTTAGTGGTTTTGGTATCCATGTTGTTTGGGGTTTGAGTCGGTCCACGTCTTCCACTCTGACTGCCTCAACTCGCTGTGTTGCGCTGCACAGAAAAGGGCTACACAGCTCGATCTGCCAGAGTGGTGGTGAAGCAGTAGCCTATATTCCCTCATTGTTTTAGGTAAGAATGCTTTTGTTTTTATCGATACTAGAAACTGAACGCTTTTTTTCTTTTTTCTCTCTCCCCACACCTCTACTGACAGGACATATGACTACTCTGAGGTGTATCCTGGTCCAAACCTGAACATGATTGTTGGAGCCAATGGAACTGGAAAGTCCAGCATTGTGTGTGCCATATGCCTGGTTCTGGCTGGAAAGACTGCAACACTGGGGAGAGGAGACAAGGTAAAAACTGAAACCCTCAACCACAGCTTCATTTATGTGACATCATTCCAGTTCTTATTTCTCTCAGATCTATAAGTTAGAAAGCTGAGGTAAATGATGCTGCTTTAGCATTGTGTGTATTTTTTAACAATGTCAGGATATTTTACAAAAGGAATTATTTTCTGTAACAAAAACCAAAACCAGTCTAAACCCTTGCGGATTGGCCCTTTGAGGCCTCCGCCTCAGACTGCCGCCCAGTCCTCTTCGCAGCGGTCCCTCATGGTTCTCCCTGCACATGGCCCTCATGTATTCGGAGGCAGCCTCACCACTGGATTCAAGGTGGAAAGGCTGCCACTGGGTTGGACTAAATCGGCCCCAAGTACCTTAGAGCTGGATGTTGTTGGGATCTCATGGCTGAGGGACCTCTTTAACATCGCATGGAGGTCCAGGACAGTGCCCCTAGATTGGCAGACTGGACTGGTGCCTCCTCTGCATAAGAAGGGGGACCAGAGGGTGTGTTCTACACTCCTCAGCCTCCTCAGTAAGGCCTAGGTCAGGGTGCTGGAGAGGAGAGTCTGGCTGATTGTCGAACCTTGGCTTCAGGAGGAGGCGTGTGCTTTTCCCCCTTGGCCATGGACCAGGTCTACAACCTCAGCCTGGTTCCAAGGGGTTCCTGTGAATTTGCCAAACCGATCCACATGTGCTTTGTGGACCTGGAGAAGGCATTCAAAGGTGTCTCTCATGGTTCGCTGTGGGGAACTATCGGGTCTATTGTGGTAAAGAGCGAACTGAGTGAAATGGCAAAGCTCTCGAATTACTGATCAGTCTACGTTCCTAACCTCACCTATGGTCATGAAATCTGAACTGTGGCCAGAGAACGAGGTCTCGTGGCTAAAATGAACTTTATTAGGGGGGGTGCTCGGCTCTCCCTTAGACACGGGGTTAGGAGCTTGGTCCTTTGGGAGTGGCTTGGAGAAGAGCTGCTTCTCCTCCACATCAAAAGGAGACTCAGACATCTTTTTCAGATGCCCCCTGGATGCTTGCCTTGGGAGATGTTCCAGGGGACTAACCAGGACATGTTGGATGGGCTATGTGTCTCGGATGGCCTGGGAGATCTTGGTGCTTCCCCCACCAGAGCTGGAGGAGGTTTCTGTGGGAAGCCTGGGAGTCTCTGCTGAGACTGCTGCCCCTGTAACCTGGTCCCACATGAAGTGGGAGGCGACGAGCACAGAAACTGGAATATTACAATATTAGTATTCAAACCACTCTAACATTTACTAAAGGAAACTTACATGTTCTCCACAGAATCATCCTGATAATTTCCTAAGATAAAGGAAAATACAAACATTTGTTGTTATGAACAAAGTTACTAACATATGTTTTCATCTAGGTTGGGCTTTATGTGAAGCGCGGCTGCCAAAAAGGTTTTGTTGAGATAGAACTGTAAGTGATGAGAAACTAATATCAACCCCTTACTTGTACTCATACGCCACTGGTGTTGCATTTTATGAACATTTGTGTCAAAATTAGCAATAGTTTATGTGCCCAAATCTAAATTTTATGTTTTTTGAATTATGTATAAAGGAACAGAAATGCAGGAAACTTGGTGATTAGTAGAGAGATCCATGTAGAGAACAATCAGTCAATCTGGATGATAAATGGTGGAATGAGCAACCAGAAAAGGGTGGAAGAGGAGGTCAAAGCTCTGCAGATCCAAGTCAGCAACCTCTGCCAGTTTCTGCCTCAGGTATGTTGACATCATGTTTTAATAGATGGCTTTGCATATGCAAAGTGACGGATGGTACCTTACAAAGTATATGCCTTCCTGTTTACTCTACATCTTGTTATATTGCTACTTGAACATTAATGGATTTTTTGACATTGTGAGATAAGACTAAGTGAAAACAAAATGATACACTGTTTTAAAATTTTTATAATCAAAGCCATCAAAAGTCTCCTTATTGGTAAATTCAGCTCTCTGCTGTGTATTTTATGCTACATTCAGACTGCACGCAATTGAAGAAGCAGAACCATCTGGTTTACATTAGGGGTGTAAATAATAATCGTTTTGTATCGATCCATCGATTCAACAGCCGACGATCCAATGCATCGACACATCCGCAAGAGTAGCGACTCATGTTTTTTTTTTCCTCCAGTCTATTTTTATCCATTTGCTCCTGGGCGTAATTCTGACTCCCGTGCTGCGGTGGCGCTAAACCTATTTTGCCCTCCTACCCCGCTTCCTGGTTATACTCTTGCAGCAGTGTGTTGCAGTGAGCTTGACGCAGACATTTTTGATTTATGCTCAATATTGAAGCGTGGGTCTAGATACGGCTGAGGAAGTGGGGGCGAGTTTGTCCGACAACGGAGGGACACGACGGTGAAAAATAGAGGGGATCAAGGTGGGAAAAGTTAAGGGTCCCAGTTTTCTCGCGCACCTCGCTCTTCTAGCTGGTCCAACTTCACGAGTTGTTTTCTGCAATTTCGGTCATAAAAACAAAACAAGCCGACCTCCTGTCTGCGGTACTGTCTGCGCTCAGTTACATTTTGGGAGAGGTACAGCGGAGGGGGTGGGGACGTTCTTCATACGTACAGACATACGTCCCTATTGTGTTGAGTAGAACGAAGGCTTCCGATACCTGTATTTTTAGATGCAAGGTCTATCAGAATCTATAACACAGGGGTATAATTACTTTTCAGTGAATGAGGTTTTAATAGGAATAAGTGGAATACAACTTTTCTACTTCTGTTATTTACTGTTGTTTCTCAAATAAAATGCATAACAATATTACAGCTTTCATTGATTTATTTCAAATTTATTTTCAAATTAATGCCTAAATTAACTTAAAATGTGGAAACCTGTCAGTTAAACATGTTCGCTTTAATTGTTCAGGTGTAAGCAGTTTGGATCTGTGAAAAACGCTAAGATCTCCTTCTAGCTACCACAAACGATAGAGGGAAAAAAAACCAAAGAGGCGACTGCCCGGGCCTGAGGCAGCTGTTGCTGGGAATTTCCAGTAAGAGCGCAACGCGCGTGTGCAGGGTTTCATGCTGGTCTGACAGAGAAATAAAATTTAAAGGTGCAATCTTGATGAACTGACTGCACAGATTAAGTTTTGATGTGGACTTTCTCGCTTTAAAACAAATGGACTTTTTAAAGTACTTTACTTTTTTACCCACTTATAACAGCAATTATAGAAAAGCCGCTCTCTGCCATTGAACACAGGAGCAGCAGAAGCATCAGACGCATCTGTACACACTTCACTGGATGCCCTTCAAGAGCATCAAAGATGCACTTGAGGCGTGGGGAAATTTGTGTACAAGCATTAAAATTTAAGCAGCGGGTGCTTTTTTGTTCCTCAAACCGGTGTGAACGTAGCATTAATCTTGGTATAGATACAGTTGTTCTGTGCAGACCTCAAAGGTTTATGCCGTGTTTCAACTTATCTTGGCCTGGCTCTGCTCCAACCCACCACTATTCAAATATTTCTACTACTGCACTGGCTTTTCTTTTTGCTTAGTACAAGCAGAGTCAAGTTGGAAAATTGGTAAGATTCTTGGCAATCAGGGAACACAGCAGATGGGTCAGGATAAAGTTTTGGAGAAGTTTCAAGTAGGGTTTGGTTTCAACGTTTCAATATGAAAGCATTGAGAATTGCAAGAACAAAACAGATTTTTATGACCTCTGTGTAAAATGTATAAACTATACAGGTGGCAAAACATGGTGTTGGTAGGATAATGCTTTGGTTATGAGATCCTAAAAATCCAGCTAGAGCTAAAAAAAACATGGTCCAGATCAAAGGACATTCATCAGTTAGAATGGCCTAGTTAAAGTCCAGAGCTAATTCTACTTGAATCAACAAAATCATTGAAGTTTCAGTTTACTAATCCACTCCACCCTACTTGGTTTTGCTTTTAGCTCTTTTCCATTAATTAAAAAACTTAAGTCTTAGATTTTACCCACAGAAAGAGACATGCCTCAGGATATTTGCTTTCTGGAATATTGGCTTAAAAGAGGGCCAGAATTTAAATAGATGACACGCTTTTCAACATATAATCTGTAAAGAATTTTGGAAAATATTCACAACTCGTTGCTACTATTTTAGCCCATCAAATAAAATCCAGACAGATGTATTTTTTTTTTTTTTGGGATGCCTATTTTCTCCCCACCCTTTCACTGTTGCTTGATCCTCCATAGGAGAAAGTTGGAGAGTTTGCAAAGATGTCCAAAATTGAATTGCTGGAGGCTACTGAAAAGTCCGTCGGTCCTCCAGAAATGTACAACTATCACTGTGAGCTCAAAAACTTTCGCAACAAAGAACGAGAATTAGAGGTAAAAGAAATCAGTTGATGTTATGTGCCAAGTTTGATATGAGAAATGTTTCAATTATTTTTTTTAATTCCGAGATTTCTAACTTCTCAGATTATTTCTTTATGTAATTAATTATTCTGTAGAATGTTGTGAAGGAAAAGGCAAGCTTCCTTGAAAAAGCCAAGCAGAGGAATGAGAGGAACAAGCATGACGTGAATCGTTATTATGAAAAAAAAAGACATCTGGATGTGATCGAGTTGCTTGAAAAGAAGAAACCATGGGTGGTGAGTTCATGATGATATGTATTACACAATCCACAAGAGGGGAGCAGAAATAAAACAGGAATCCTGTCATGAAATAACTTTATTCTACTCACTCTGGGACTAGGAATATGAGACCACCCGTAAGGAGCTGGAGGGGGTGAAAATGGAGCGAGAAGAAGCCAAAAAGCAGCTCTCTGCCCTCAGGCAGTCCCAGGCACCCATGTTAAAGAAGATCCAACAGATTGATGACAAGCTGAAGCCCACAGAGGCACAACTGAAATCTAAGGTGACAAATTCTGGATGTAACTGATGTATTCACTGTTGGCAATCTAACACTTTTTTCATTTTTCCTTCAAAATTTCCTTTTAACTAAAGTCTTGCCCTTTAAAGACATGCTATATTTTATGTCTGAATGATAAATCTTTACAAGATGATATTATGACTACAAAATAAATGAATATACAGGTGCTGGTCATAAAATTAGAATATCATGAAAAAGTAGATTGATTTCAGTAATTCCATTTAAAAAGTGAAACTTGTATATTATATTCATACATTACATACAAACTCATATATTTCAGATGTTTATTTTGTTTAATTTTGATGATTACAAATGACAACAAATGAAAATCTCAAATTCATCATATCAGAAAATTAGAATATTACTGAAAACCAATAAAAACAAAGGATTTATAGAAATGTTGGCCAACTGAAAAGTATGAACATGAAAAGTATGAGCATGTACAGCACTCAGTATTTAGTTGGGCCTCCTTTGGCCTGTATTACTGCAGCAATGCGGCGTGGCATGGAGTCGATCAGTCTGTGGCACTGCTCAGGTGTTATGATAGCCCAGGTTGCTCTAATAGTGGCTTTTAGCTCTTCTGAATTGTTGGGTCTGGTGTATTGCATCTTCTTCTTCACAATACCCCATAGATTTTCTATGGGGTTAAGGTCAGGAGAGTTTGCTGGCCAATTAAGAACAGGGATACCATGGTCCTTCAACCAGGTACTGGTAGCTTTGGCACTGTGTGCAGGTGCCAAGTCCTGTTGGAAAATGAAATCTGCATCTCCAAAAAGTTGGTCAGCTGCAGGAAGCATGAAGTGCTCTAAAACTTCCTGGTATGTGGCTGCGTTGACCCTGGACCTCAGAAAACACAATGGACCAACACCAGCAGATGACATGGCACCCCAAACCATCACTGACTGTGGAAACTTTACACTGGACTTCAAGCAACGTGGATGAAGTGCCTCTCTTCTTTTCCTCCAGACTCTGGGACCTTGATTTCCAAAGGAAATGCAAAATTTACTTTCATCAGAGAACATGACTTTGGACCACTCACCAGCAGTCCAGTCCTGTTTCTCTTTAGCCCAGGCAAGACGCTTCTGACGCTGTCTGTGGTTCAAGAGTGGCTTGACACAAGGAATGCGACAGCAGAAACCCATGTCTTTCATACGTCTGTGTGTGGTGGTTCTTGAAGCACTCACTCCAGCTGCAGTCCACTCTTTGTGAATCTCCCCCACATTTTTGAAGGGGTTTTGTTTCACAATCCTCTCCAGGGTGCGGTTATCTCTCTTGCTTGTACACTTTTTTCGACCACATCTTTTCCTTCCCTTCGCCTCTCTATTAATGTGCTTGGACACTGAGCTCTGTGAACAGCCAGCCTCTTTAGCGATGACCTTTTGTGTCTTGCCCTCCTTGTGCAAGGTGTCGATGGTCGTCTTTTGGACAACTGTCAAGTCAGCAGTCTTCCCCATGATTGTGTAGCCTATAGAACTAGACTGAAAGACCATTTAAAGGCTTTTGCAGGTGGTTTGAGTTAATTAGCTGATTAGAGTGTGGCACCAGGGGCCATCAATTTTGAACCTTTTCACAATATTCTAATTTTCTGATATGATGAATTTGAGATTTTCATTTGTTGTCATTTGTAAACATCAAAATTAAACAAAATAAACATCTGAAATATATGAGTTTGTATGTAATGTATGAATATAATATACAAGTTTCACTTTTTAAATGGAATTACTGAAATCAATCTACTTTTTCATGATATTCTAATTTTATGACCAGCACCTGTATTTTATGAATACCTGGGATGTCATAAATAACAGATTTTATTTTTTCATATTTAGAACCATCCATCTTCTACCTAAAAATATGCACTTTACTGTTGATAGTTTATAGTCTCTTTATCATTAAAATGTTGTTGTTTCCCAGACTGCAGCAATCAAAGAAACCTCTGTAAACTACAAAAGGAAACAGGACCATCTGGATCAGAAAAACAAAGAGGTATAACTGCTTATTCAAATTAAAAAGAAAAGTTTAACTGCCTGATATTTAACAGGAAAATTAAAGGCAAACATGAAGTAAAGTTTTGTGAGGCTGTTAAAAGCTTATCGGGAATAATGGCTCATTCTTCCCTTCAGATCGACGACATTAAGCAGAATCTGCGGCTGAAGCAGACTGAAGAAGAGGACCACCAGAAGCGGATCAGTAACACCAGACGAACCATCGAAGATTTGAAGTCGGAGCTGGCCAAAATCGCCGACCTGCCAGACGTAACGCCACAGATCAATGCTGTCAATGTGGAGCTGAGGCGTGTCCATGTGGAGCGAGCCAAGATTGATGGAGATAAGACTGACCTGCGCAGGGAGAACGACAACATCACTGCTGAGTCCAAAAGTCAGATTTCAGTAACCGATCCATATTTCAGTCATAGGATTACAAAAAAAAAAATAATAATATCAGGGACATTGTTACTGCTTACAAAGAGTTCATAACATTTCTTTTGGACTATCTTTAGTGTTGGAAAAGAAGCTGAAGGACATGAACAATATGATGAATGCCAAAGAAGAAAAGCTGCGAGGGCGCCACAGGGACACCCACACTGCCCTCCAGTGGCTAAGGAAGAACCGAGATTTATTTGAAGGAAATGTCTATGAGCCCATGATGCTGGTGGTGAGTCCCACACATAAAAGTGTAGAAAAAGTAGCTGAGCGATCGAAAGGAAAACAATAACGACCATATATAACCAATAATGTAAAGATAAATCACTAAACTGAGGAGTAGATCCAAATGTAGAGCTGCCACTAACAACTAATCTTAACGACTAATTTCCAAAAAAATCTCCACTTTTGGAGGTTGGCAGCTTAGCCACGGGATGGTGACGGCAAAATAAAAGTTACCCTTATACTGTGTCTGTGCGTGTGCTTATTTGATAAACCCTCTGTCTCAAGTCTGGTGCCGTTTCAAAAGCGTTGTTTAGCAAAACCTTACCAAATAGTCAAAGCGGCCGGCTTAACATCCAAAGACAGTCTGTCATCTTACTTCCCTAAGATTTATAAAAAGCACATGCTAACTAGACATTTAAACAGTAATCATAATGTTACTGTGATAATGTGATAAGCCAACAAAGACTTACAGTGTACAAACAACTTTATCACCAGCTACCCGAAAGTATTCCCATACTTTGGATACTTTTGGTCTTCTTGCAGATGCCTCTGTCATCCATTCAGACTCCCCCTTTGCTGCCATTTTCGTATCATGCTCAAAACCAGAACCAAAAGTAATCTATGTTCTAACTGCATCTTCATGAGTCTTTGGTGCACATTTTGTTTTAGCTAAACACATGCAAAAAAAAAGTAGTTTTTGAGGTTCACTCATGTCAGCTTCATTCCTGCAGCTCAATGTAAAAGATCCTCGCTATGCTAAATATGTGGAGAACCACATCTCTTTCCATGACCTGCGGGCCTTCGTCTTCCAGAGGAAAGACGACATGGAGAAGTTCATGACTGAGGTCAGGATAGCTTTTCTGTCCGAACTGTGCCGGCTAAAACTTGTGTGACTGAGTTTATAAGCCAGTTTGCTGTGACCTCTTCACGCCCACAGGTCCGTGACAAGATGGACTTGAAGGTTAACTCCATCTGTGCTCCAGAAGAGTCGTGCTCTAAGCGGCAGCCATCTAAAAGCATTGAGTCGCTGAGGTGAGAGTTTTGAAAGCTTTAGAATATGAAAGTTTGGGCACCATTGCTTAGCGGTTGCTAAGTCGGAAATATTTTCATATAAACTGGTCTAGAGGCCTGGGTCTTCATGCACTTTGGTACACATACATCATCTGTCATTCCAATTAACCTTATATTATTATAGAGGCCTTTAGTGACACTTTTGAACTACCCTTGTCTCCAGTTGCTATGACTATAAAATAAATTTACAATAATTTAGTCTACAAAAATAATAGAAAGTCTTAATTTATTCAGGATATCTTCTGACCTGAAAAGGGTTTAGGCAAATTCACAGCCAAATATGTGAACGACATGTTCTGTCTCTGCTGGCTTTTTTTTTTTTTTTGTTAGCAGTTGTCTCAGAAGTGGGCACTGTGCACCTATTGAAATTAATTTAAACACCTTATGAAAGAGCTTGCTGTGGCGTAGTGTGGTGGGAGCTTCCACAGACTTAAACAGAATCTATGCTGACTTACAATGACTCACATTCTTTCATGAACTTTTAAGAAACAAAACTTTGGATACAGAGTCTAGAATGTGCTGTAAACCATTTTTAAGATATTTTTGCCATTTCTTCCCAGTGATAACATCGTCTTTAGAGTAAAAAAAAAAATGCAGGAAGAAATTGCTGTTACTGGTTTGGTGATAAGCTGCCTATCGACTGTTCAACGTCAGTTCGACTGAAGTTAACAGTTTAAATCATTGGATAAATTTGATGCAAAGAAGCCAGGAAATAAAAAGATAAAGAATGACATAATGAAAAGTATATGTAAATTTTATTTATTTTTAAAAATGACTTATTTAATGTGATTTTATTAAATCTATTTAAATAATTAATGGCATATTTTATTTATTTTTACATTTCACAATTTAATAATAAATGTAAGTATTTTTATTTAATAAAGGCTTAAATTTCATTATTTCATGATACGTTTATTTAATGCTGTCTTACCCATTTCATTTTGTCCTCCTAACCCCTCATAGTTGATGGTGTGATGTTTTACTTCAGATTGGCAAGTTAGATTTATTCAAGTTTCACATTTTCTGCATATATTTGACCCTTTATTTGTAATGTGCATGCCTAAAGCAATCATTTGAATAGGAATTTATGGATTCATTAAGGTTATTGTTATTTAACTGATCAAATAACAGCTTAATATAGAGATTCAAAACTATTCAACCTGCTGAAAGAATAACCACTCAGAGCAGGGAGATTAATGTATATGCATTCTAATCTCATTAAATACTTACTATCTGATTATTAATTGGTAGATCTGAGAAAAAAAAAAAAGGTTATGGTTAAGTGATAAGCAAAATAATCATGCAGCCTTTCTAATTTAAAACTTAAGTGCAATAATTTGTTTCTAAAATGTTGCAGACGTTTTGGCTTCTACACATACCTCCGTGAGATGTTTGACGCTCCTGAAGAGGTGATGAGTTACCTTTGTTTCCAGTACAAGGTGCACGATGTGCCAGTGGGCAATGATCAGACCAAAGCGGTCATCAAAACGGTATGTTCCTGTTTTTATTTTCATCTGACCTTTTTCAAGATTCATTTTAAGAAACTTGGGAAATAATTGATTTTCAACATGGAATTTTAAATATGTTGTACTTCAAGTAGTAATGTAATATTTTGTGTTTTGTCTCCTGATTAGAGGTTTGTTTTTATTCCTAATAACACATCAATCTTTCCGATATCCACTCAGGTGATTGAGGAGCCCTACCTGAAGGTGTTATTCACAACAGATGAGAGATACACTGTCAAAACGTCCATCTATTCCAAGAAAATAAGCACCAGCAACTCTGCCGTGCACCCCTCTCAGTACCTTTCAATAACTGTGGATGCTGTACAGAAACAGCAGGTGGAACAGCAGATGAAGGCAAGAATATCAAAATGATCTGCCAGCAATTCCCTAAACCCTTCATTTAGCTCTAATGTCTTGTGAAGCGTCCACATGTCAAAAATTTGGGTCCGTTACCCAGGAATTGTTCTAGAGTTAATGTGTTTATCTCTGTTACAATTAGACCTGTGCTTCAAGATCACGTGAGATTGACGAGCAGATGAAGGCCCTGCAGAAGGAGGCTGCTGCTCTGGATCGCAAAGAAAATGAACTGTTGTCAGAAAAGAAACGACTTTCTGAGCTTAAAGGGAAGAAGAGACAACTGGAACAGAAAATCAGCACCAAACAGGACAGGTAGGCCTGTCTCTGAAGGTTATAAAGTTTCCATTTTTTAAATCTCTTTCAAATTGCATAGCTTTGTCAAATCCAGGATTAAGGAGATCTAACCCCCTGAACATTTTTAGTCTGAAGCAGATGGAGCAGAGTGTTATTGACCTGAAGAAAGTTGAAGAGGTAACTAATAAAAAAATTAAGGCCGCCAATCTACAGAAAGTGACGATAGTTGCAGCAATCGTCGATCAAGTCAAGGTATGAAATATTCTTTTCTGAATTTCAACTAATTCCTCTACCAAGCTGTTGTCTATTTCTTGATTGTAGAAAGATAAAGCCCCTTAAGGCTTCTTATGTCTGAGTTCACAATCCATATATTTGCACTACCACTGTGCAGCGCTGCATTTTTCTTTTGTGCATTAACCTTTCCTCCATCTTCCCACCATCTGTAGCTGAAAGCAAAGTTAACAATGGAGAAGGTGTACCTGGCCTTGGAGATGGCGGGATTGACTGCGGAGAAGGCTAAGCTTGAAAATGACTGCAGGGAAGGCGCCTCTGAATTTAAAACTATGGAAGTAAGAATTGTAAAGCACAGTTGGATTGATGCCTTGTTTATACTGAGGTCTCAGATCCTAAACCTTAACTCAACTCTTCATTGTAGCAAAGATGCAGCCGCCTGGAGCAGAGAAAGATTCAGCTGACAGAGCAGTGCAAGGGCCTGTTGAAGAGGGCAAAGTCAAACTGTCGGATGCAGCCAGATGAGGCGATATCAGAAGATCTGCGTAATGTTAGTGCTCATCCTCCATCTTTGTCTTCTGCTGGAGTTTTTGTAATATTTGCTCTGAAAGCCTTTTATTGTTGAATGTCTTATTAATCATTATGTCATTGCAGGCGTTCAGCAAACTGCCTGACACACTGGATGAGGTTGATGCCATGCTGAATGAGGAACGCTCCAGAGCTGAGTGCTTCACTGGTCTTAGTGAAAATGTAAGAGCTGATGAAAACTGACAGAGGGTCAGGAATCAGTTTAATTTAGATTCAAGTAAGAAAACATTAGGTTAAAAAAAATAACAAAACTAAAATATCACTATTTACAGATGCATAAGCTTATTTTCTGATTATTTGTGATTATAAATGTTGTAGTGTACATATTTGAATTGTTTGATCCTGCTTTGAAGGTTGTTGAAGAGTACAATAAGAGAGAGCAGGAGATCAAAGTTCTTGAGAAAGAGCTTCAAATAAAGACAGATGCCTTGAATGCCTACAGACAGAATATATCTGAGGTACGTTATGATATTGCAGCCTTTCTACTGAAACTGTGTTTGCTGTAACGTTTGTAACAGAAGACATTTTGTTTCTGTATCCGTATGTGTGCTTCAGGTCAAGGAACGCTGGCTGAACCCACTGAAGCTGCTGGTGGAACAGATAAATGACAAATTCAGTGAATTCTTCCGCTCCATGCAGTGCGCAGGAGAGGTGGATTTGCACTCGGAGAATGAGGTAAATGATCACTAGGGTAACAGCAGCTATAGACAAAGATTAGAACCAGTGACTAAGAACTTTATCTGTACAGCTATGCAACTTTGAGTCAAATATTTAAATCAATTACTTAAAAAATATTCTAACCGTATAGAAAACTATCTGCATTTTTTCTTACACTTCTCACTTCCCAAAATCTTCTGTGTGGCAGACATTTGTTCTGACGACCTTTTAGCATTTTGAATAAACGCTAACCTATTTAATCTCCTGTGTTCCTTTCAGGAGGAATATGACAAGTATGGGATCCGCATTCGTGTGAAGTTCCACAGCAGCACACAGCTCCATGAGCTGACGGCTCACCATCAGAGCGGAGGCGAGCGGAGCGTCTCCACTATGCTTTATCTGATGGCCTTACAAGAGCTTAACCGCTGCCCATTCAGAGTGGTGGATGAGATCAACCAGGTCTCTTTCAAATTTACTTTTTTATTTTTTATTTCTGTTTAGATGGGCTTTATTTGCCTACATGTAGTAGTAGAGACTGCTGCCTTATGTTAAATGGAACTACAAGGAATGGTAGAGATGCATCCAGAGAAGGTCCACTGGATGAGTCTGTGTGTACGTTTTGTTTCCTAGGGAATGGATCCCATAAATGAGAGGAGAGTGTTTGATATTGTAGTCCGCACCGCCTGCAAAGAGACAACTTCTCAGTACTTCTTCATTACCCCAAAGGTAAGTGTCGCTCCCGGAGGTCCCTGTCACACCTTGCAGATTTAGCCAACGTATGTCTGACGTCCCAGAATCTCCTAAAACGCTGGCATACTACTAACTTTCTATGTATTTTTTCAAATTTGGAGGTATACACGGCGCATTCATAATGAGTCCAGAGCGTATGTCCAGCGACAGCCTAACTTATGCATAGTGCATGGCAGCGTAATGCCCATGAAATGATGCACAAGCCATTGTCCTGAAGGGGGCAGGGATGCGCCCAGAAGCACCCAACCTGCTTAAAAGATTTCTTTGATTGCAGGTTTAACCTAGCTGCTGTTTTACTGCCCGCCCGAAAAAAAAGAAAAGAAATAAATAATGTTTGTAGTCACAGCAGATTCAGCGTCATGTCTGCTAGGAGGTTTGTTGGTCATGGGCGTGAACACAGTGAGGATCCATCACACTCACTTTCTCCGTCACCCTGTGATGCGGATGAAGTCTGGAGAAGAACTGACGGTTTCCTCCTGTGAACCCCCTTTTATACCAAAACGCTGCCAATACCCTATTATACAGTAGCTGTAAGTTAGAGATGCGTTCAGTGGACGTCTAAAAAAACATCAAATATGTTGATATACATTGGAGATAAGTTCTTGATAACCATAGGTTATGCATAAGTTACTTATAGGTTTTGGATAAGCTAGACACCACGACTTATGATTAACTTACACGTAACGTACGTCAATGATCAGAAAACTTACCTGTAACTTATGCCCTACGTATGGCATATGCTGGCATGCGTCGAGAAATTTTGAGCATGCTCAAACTTATCCAACGTATGCCAGCATTTTTGCCAGATTTTTCTTATGTAAGGCATACGCTGTCTATGCTGATCTTTTTCTTTTTTTAACTTACAACTAAACATCTGTGCATGACAACAGGTTCCGAAAACCTGTTGGTTGGTGTTTTTTTTGTTTGTTTTTTTGTAACAACCTGCAATCTGTGAGGCCAAGTCTTATTCTTACCGTATTTTCACGACTATAAGGCGCACTTAAACATCTTTTTTTTCCCTCAAAATGTGCGGTGCGCCCTATGGTGCGGTGCGCCTTATGTGCGCTGCAACTGCAACTTTTGAGACCACCTCATTGAGGAGATGATGATAGAGTGGTTGAATGTAAGGAGACCAGGTGTTTTTTTTTTCACCCCTCACCATCGCTGTTAATATGTAACTCCATGCGTGCCCATCTCACAGCTGATGTGAAAAACATGGGGAAACAAATTAACCCTGTGCTCGCTGTTTAACCGCTCGACATCGGTGTGAACTGGACCCAGCAGGTGCAGCAGAAGCAGCGAGTTTACATGCAAAGTCAATGGTTGACGCGCGTATAGGTGCAGCAAAAGGTCCCGCAGCGCGTTTTGAGCAGCAGGCGCAGCGCGTCGGAGCGTTTAAGCATCTGACGCACCGCCAACGCACTGCTGCTGCTCGAGATGGAAAAATTGAAGTTTTGCTGCTGGACGCGCCGCATCAACCAATCAGAGAAGCTGATCTGGGAGCTGACAGCGAGACAGACACAGCGCTCTGATGACACATGATATTAACGCAAATGAAAAAGGCTGGATGGATGAGGAGATGATGAAAGCGTGGCTGAGGCAGGTGTATGTGAGGAGACCAGGTGGTTTTTTCCACGCATCACCATCGCTGCGTGCCCATCTCACAGCCGATGTGAAAAAAAAGGTGAATCAAATGAACGCTGTGCTCGCCGTTATCCCGGGGGTCTGACAAAGGAACTTCAACCGCCCAACATCGGTGTGAAGCGCCCGTTCAAAGTAAGGCTGCGAGCAGCGTGGGAGCGATGGATGACCGACGGAGACCACAGTTTCACGATAAGTGGAAGGCAGCGCCGGGCAAGTTACGCCACAGTTTGCAGATGGATTATAGATGCTTGGACTAACGTGTCTGCTGGCTCTGTTGTTCAAGTTTTCGCAAAAGCCGGGATTATTTCTGAGGAGCCGCGCTGCACGGAAAGTGACTCTGACAGCGAAGAAGGGGAAATTGGCATGTCTGATTTAGCGCAGATGTTTAATTCAGAAACAGAGGATGATGACTTTGATGGGTTTGATTAATACTGTGTAATAAATACATGAATAAAGCACAATCATACTCAGTTTTGCTCCCGCTCTATTTTTCTACCTGAAAACTTAATTCAACAGCAGCCTCTGGGCGGGTCTCCTCCTCTTCACCGCGGTGGCTGGCAGGTGTTTTTTCATCTAAATAATCTAAATCTTGCAGCTATATTTGCTGTGATCAGTGGGAATAAAGTAGTTTTAATATGTTTTTAAGTGAGAAAGGCCACCTGAAAACTTAATAATTGCAGTCAGTTCATCCAGATTATCTATTTCTGTCGGAGGCGCTCAGACCCCCACATACCAGCGGTGCACCGACAGCAGAAATCCCTTCAACAGCAGCCTCTAGGCTGGGCAGCCTCCCACGCGGTGGCTGGCAGGTGTTTTTCATCTAAATAATTTAAACTGCAGGCACCAGGATACCGGTAATAAAAGCGAACATATTCCGTCGGCAGGTTTCAGGATTTTAAGTTAATTTAGGAGTGATCACAGCGCTGTGTCATCTGCGATGTGTCTGTCTCACGGCCAGCTCCCAGATTTGATTAATACTTTGTAATAAATACATGAATAAAGCACAGTCATACTCAGTTTTGCCCCCGCTGTATTTTTAAATACGCAGTAGAGGTATTTAAAGGTAGTAGAGGACATGTACCTGTATATAAAAAACGCGCCCTATAGTCCGGTGCGCCTTATGTGTGTGTTAAATACAGAAATGGGACACATAACTGAGAGTGCGCCTTTTAGTACGGTGCGCCTTATGGTCGTGAAAATACGGTATTTCTAATGATGTTTCTTTTTCATTGAAGCTTCTACAGAATCTAGAGTACGCCGAGGAGATGACCATTCTCTGCATCCATAATGGGCCTCACATGCTTCCTCCCAATGAGTGGAACACGTCAGCTTTCATCAAACGGCGCCTCAAACAAAAAAACCATGGCGGAAACCCATGAAAAAATGTCTTTACTGACAATAGTTTTCAGTTGTACATGCCTATTTCCTGGTCATGTTTTTGACTTTCCTTGTTTACATTTTTTGTCTTTTCTTTTCTACACTGTTTGCACTTTTCATGCAGGCATGTTTATCATTTTAAATGAAGCACAAATATTGGAAGTTGTGGTAATGTGGCCAAACGGATTAAATTCTTTTTAAAAGCACTTTACGGTTTCTCTGCCCTTTTAAAATGGTGGAACAAAAAAAAAAAACAAAGTTGCAAAACCATTTCTTTAAGTTCAGTGTTTGTTTTTTGCTCTGTTCAATGAAGACAGGACGGTTGTATCAGGCCTTCATGTTTAGCGGCAGTTGTAGACGGTAGTTCTTGACGTCTCATCCTGAAATTATTTTAATGTTCTAATAGTTCAACACATCTTCAGCTTCTCTGGGTTGATAAACCTGTGGAGGAAAACATTCACAGGTTCAAATTGTATTACTTTCGTTATATTAATGAATTTGCTTACCCATGTAAACAATTGGAATTAAGTGTTCCAATCACTTCCATAAAGCACCCATATATGATTCCTGCTTTAAAAAAAAAGGTTTGAGTACCAGTACCTGTGGAAAGTACCAAACTTTCTAGAGTCAATAGCTAAACTTCCTGTTGTGATAATCTGTGCTTCTCCAAGTCGAAGAGCCAGTGTTTGGATGGTACAAGGAAAACAGTACTTGTCTGACAAGTTCCAGCAAAAGGAACTCTTCATGCTTGAACGTACCAACAGATCTAGGATAATTGGATGCTCCCAGCTTTGTGGGATCAGTTTGGAGATCACCTCTTTCCTAACATGACTATACCCCTTAAATCTGCCAGTATTGGACCAATGTCACATTGAATCCAAGGGATTCAGAATGAAATGCCACTTAAGAGTTCATATGCTAGTCAAGCCTTGGCTAAAAACTTTTTCAATATAGAGAAATATCAGCACCATGAACACCTTTGTTTATAAACCCAACGAATTTCTGGCGACCCGTTTAAAGCTTGTACAACTAATAACTCAGAATGCATGAAAATTACAACAGTAACAGTTTTACCAATATAGACATGTTAGACCTCATTGGAAAGCTTAGATTCTTCACATTTCAAGCAAGTCATTCAGGCTTTGGATAGTTTACCATTTATAAAGCAGCTGAGGATCTTTGTCAGATAAACTCAATTTTATTAGGAGGAAAAGCTCTATAAATAATAAACATTGTTTCGTAGATCCATTTACCAGAAGATGTTAAAGTTGCTGTGCTTAGCTAACTTTATTAAAAAAGTACCAGTGCTTTCACGTGTGCTTGGGGGTGTTTAAATATTGAATGGTTCTCACTACCTTTATGGAAAGCCCAGCAGCTTGGTTTAAACACAGTACAACCTAATGGCGTCCCTAGATCTAAGATTTTTCTCATCGTTAAGACCAAGAATGGTCCTAACAGAATAGAGGCCACTAAATGGGAAAGAACAAAGCGAAATATTCAAAACAAAAAAGCTAGGAAGGATGGACATGACTAAATGTGGAATTATAAACTGTTTCTAACGGTGTTCTAGCCTTTATCCAGGACTTAACCAGACCCGAAAAATACAGGGGGGGTTGAGAGAAAAACATCCACATTCTTCCAAACATTTAATCTATAGTAACACCATCCAGGTCTCCTCGCTTCTTCTCGGCTGTGGTTAGATCAGAATCGCCTCTATACTCATTGTCCACGGTGAGGCCTTAAGCAAAGCTCTGGCTCAACCAGAACTAGTATATCTGATCAATTCATCACTTCTGACCACAGCACGAAGCGTGGAGGCCCTTCGTGTTTTTTTTCTCGCCGGCTGCTCACTGCCACGGGGGGCTGCAGAGCGCTTTTCCTATCATTTCCGACCGGAGCAGAGCCAAACTCAGGTCGGATCAAATAAGATCACTGTGTAGGTTTTAACAGAAAATACAGAAGAACAAACACACAGACAGACGCTCCACATTCACTCACACAAACGTTCTCCATTCACACTCTGAGGACTACGCTTCCGCTTCCGGTTTATAAATGGATGGCCGCCTGGAATTATGGGATATATGTAACTAATAGGAGGACATCGCCCTCTCGTGGTCAGTAAGAAAAATGACTTTATTTAATTTCGTTGAGAATTTTAAATTTCTTTGAGAATAATTCTGACTCCTCCCCCCCCTCCCCCAAATTAAACTAAACTAAAATGAAATAACAGGTTATTTTTTTTTTACTTTTTTCAGTGGCCCTCTTCCGTAAACAAAAACATGGGAAACTTAAAAAAAAAAAAAATCGGTAATATATGAATGAAAAAGAAGCATATGCGATATGAAAAAATGTAGGGTAAAGAAAGAAGATGAGAAAATTTGTGCAAACAAAAATTCTCAAAAAAAGCATCAGTGTACCAGTAAATACTAAATATAATACAAGCATTTAGCTAAATGTCATACATGTTAAGATGATGGATTCATTGATTTAGTTTTATGTAATAGGAAAATAGTTCTGACTAAATGCCAAGATTAATTATATCTACTGAATTATCTTTGTCTTATCAGTACTTACAGTTCAGTTAAAAATGAACAAAACAAAAAAAAAACATGATACAGCTTTAATACAGAAGACACCAATGAGTCTTGGATTTGCAAAAGCATAGCCACATTTGAGAGGATATGTTCATCTTTAACTTGGTGTGAGGAATTAATGGGGAGGATAATTTACCAAGTCCCAAACCCACATTTGGCAGAGAGCTGAGGCTGTTCTATGGGAGATGAGTCAACTAATAGCCTAACCCCACATTAGTTTTAAGCTGTATTTGCGTCTGTGGTAATTAACCTATCTAGCATCCTGAGCCCTGTTGGGGGTTGTGAGGTAATCTTGAATGGCGTAATAAGATTTCAACGTCTACTAGCACTTGCTTCCTGCAGCACACCAAACCTTTGGGTCTCTCACCAACAACATGTTGACCTTGAATGGAGGAAAGAAACAGATCAGAGTTCCTGACTGAGTGAGGACGTGGTTTTCCCTTTAACCATGGATTGAACCTGAAACAGTGACAGGGATAGAAAAGCAGTGGAGCTCCATCATCCTGCCATGGATGGATCAGGTGTTAAAAAAGTAAGTTGTTGCTGGTTATGTTCTAAGATCATAGCAGGAATCAGGGTCAGTGTTTGCTCTAGATGTGTTCTTCCTGATGTTGTGCTGACGTTCTGATATTCCTTTGCTTAGTACAGTGCTCTTTTTTTAAATCAATATCTAACTAGATTAAGTGTGTTTGGCCCTCATAGTAATCTAAATACTCTCTTGATTTTATTTGTTGTACTGCAATATTATACCAGTAATCAAGCTTAAAAAATAGTGCTACTGTACAGTTATTTATTCATAATATATTTATAATGATTGTATAATGAGGTTGTCTGGATGGTATTGTAAATACACACCTGTAAGCATGTTCTAAAATTTCTGTTTTCCATACATCCAAAGAAGCAAATGCATTAAATTTTGCCTTCAAAAGAAACACCTCCCTGCCACACGCCTGTCTCATGATCCATAACCTATATAGTCTGCTACTGTATCAGGTTTTTACTAAACTAGATTGTCAGCTTGCACCAGTACAATGTTTCCTGTCTTCACAAGATGTAAATCAGATGGAGTAGATTTTCTTTACCACTCCATGTCAGTCCTGCAGGTTTGGACTGGAACAGTGACTTCTATCAGATCAGACACCTGACACGTTATCTCTCAGCTCAGCTTTCCTGCAGCGTTCCCTGGGGAGAAACAAGATAGGGAGGGTTACTGTGTGTGTCCCTGACAAAAAAGTGAAAGGCACAATCCCTGGAGACAAAAAGCTGGAGGATTATTATGCTCAGCAACGTGGCAGTTTTCCACAGAAACTTTTTCGACAGAGAAACCAATCGGCTGCTCTGACTTTGAAACTGGCTGCTCAGACAGTAAGTACCATCTGCTGCCTCCTCGGTGTGATCCTTTTCCTTCAGGTTATCTGATTTCAGTGCGTGTGCTTGGGGGTCACTGCCTGATTGTGCAGCAGAGGCTTTTATTTTGCATGCTGTTTTGTTTGGACTGCAAAACATGAGAGCTATATCAACTATATTCCTGCTGTGGGTGAAGGCAGTCAGCTCAATGCGACATCCGTCTCTGATGAAGGCTGTGATGTAACCTCTGTAAACAAGGCTGACCTGCTTAAGCAGCACGCCAGGAACTGTCTTTTTTAGCCTTTATCTAATTACACCTTTTATCCAAGAAGATGCTCAAAATAGATGATAAAAAAAAAACATTCTGGTTCATCAGGGACGCACTTTATTCATTGTCAGAATGCAAAATCATTTTTGAAATATTACTAACCAGTTTTGTTTCCTTCTTTTTCTCTTATTTGAATTCCACAGAAACCAGGATATGGAAATCACAAAAGAGGTATCACAGAGCACATGCATGAACAGTGGGGCAACAGAATATGGTCAAAGGGCCAAGCAGGAAAAACTCAAAGAAGAGGAGAAGGAGAGAAAAATGCATTTGCATGAATACACAATTGACTAAATTAATAACAAAAAATCTATCCTGATCCATACTTTTTAAAAGAAATGTATAAAACATATAATTGATATAAGAGTGCTCCCTTTGGCTTTGTTAGGGGGGGATTGATTTATTATGGGGGGTAAGGATTGGACTGATTAAACTTACTTTTCAATCAATGATACTCTATAAACTTTAGATTGGCCAAAAACAGATTTTTTATTTTTTTTTTTAACAAGCAATATTTTTTTCTAGAACTGGTTAAAAATTGACTTGAAAACTTTGTAGATTTCCAAGCCCTCAATTCAATTCTTAGAAACACACCGTAAGTATATTTTTATACATTCTCTGAACCTTTCCTCAGAGATGCCTGTCGGACCTTTGCCTCTGGCTCATAATTCAGCAACAGACGGCAGCGTTTCCGAAATCATTCAGCTCAGAAAAATCAACGGCTCCTCCTCGGAGACACCAAGCTACCAGCACCTCCACAGGGAGCTTCTTCTCAGCCACAAGCGGTACGTCAGGTATAACCACATGCAGTAGTAGCCAAGGGTGGTACTATAAATCGTCTCTGATTATCCTTTTCTGGTGAAATAAATGCAAAATTTATGTAGGACTGTCAGCAGAGCAGTTCTCTTTAACTAATGTACCACTGCTGCATTTGTTAACCAGTAAATTCATGTTTCTTATTTAGGCACTCATACCAGAACTCATACCATCCCTCCAGTTTAGGAATACTGCAGGCCACCCCATGATTAAAGACTCGCTGCATTGTTGTGTCAGTGTGGTTGACTGTCTTCTAAGGTTTAGTTTTTGAATGAGACCTATGTATGTTTGTGCAAGGGCGTAGGTTTGATTTGAACTTTGGTAGGGACACTATCAGTCTGGTGTCATTGGTGCTATGCAATATGCATGCCCTTTTTTATGCTCGATGTGAGCATCCGTACTGATAAGAGGAATTCATTGTTAAAAGAGAAAAGCAACATTTTGCTCCATTAATAAAAATGTTATAAGCTCTACACTCATTAGATGCTGTTTATCAATGTTTGAAGTATCACCGGCTCTGATGAATGTGGAATTAGGACTGTTTTCCACTTTGAAAACGGTTTCATTTGAACGACTAAGAGAGAAGGTAAATACAGTATTTTCTTTTGAAGATATAGAATTGTGCAGAGTTAAACCCCACTCTAATATTTGTACCTACTATGCTCTCTCTGTATCAAGCAAAATAATACATTCATTAAAATATTAACTTCACTATAAAAGTTGAACATCTGGGCTGTAGTTACTCTGTGTCGCTCATTTCATGTATTTCATCTGGGGCTGAAAAAAATGAATCATATTAATTGATTATTTCAATAATCGTCAACTAATTTAGTACGTGATTCATCATTAACTGGAGTATAGAGACTTTAAAACATACAGTAATATAAATGTAAAATGTGCCTTTCCCCACAGAGCAACCCACTTAGATCAGTTATTATATCAAAATTGTAAAAATAAAAACAAAAAAATGAAAACTGTAATATCAACTTAATATCAGTAAAAAGGAAACCCTCACATTTTCTTTTTTAATTGGCTGTGACTAAGAATCAGAAATGTTGATGGCTTACAGCCTTTATTTGCTCATTTTTCTAGCAGTCTTCAGAACTCCTGGCTGACTCAGAATATTTCGTTTTATAAAAGAAAAAAAAGGTTTTTGTTTTTTAGTGTACATGATATTCATTTTTTTTTTAATTGGGACTAGTTTTGTAGCCTAATATTAATTGTTGTAACCGCTGCATTCTAGTGTGAATATATTTTCAATATTGTGCTCCAAGCACACGCGGACTAGAAAACAGCCAATCAGAGAGAGAGAAGGCGGAACTTAAGGCAGAACAACCAATGAGAGTGGAGTTAAACAGCGCAGCACAGTTCCATGCGCTGCTACATGAAAAGGACAGGAGAGACCAGGCAGAGGAGCTGCGAGAGGAAAAGAAGCCACTGCTGCAACAACTACTGCTGTAAATTATAAACATGTTGCTCACATCCAATTATTGGTTGGGACAATTAGGACGGTTCAAAATTTTGGTAGGGACATGTCCCTATGGTCCCTATGCAAACCTACGCCCATGTGTTTGTGACTGCTCAGAGGCCTGCTGCTGGAGGAGAAACCAGAGCTGAAGCGGGTTCTGGAGCAGCGCAGACTAGAGCTTCACAAGGAGGAGGAAATGGCACAACGACGGCCCTCTGATCTGGAGACGGAGCTCCGCAAGAGGCAGCAGAAGCTGCAGGAGGTCAGGAACACATAAACAGCTGAAAGATGATTCACTAGACCATTTATCTTCACAGTGCCTGACTGAATAGATGCATGTTATATATAGCCATCTGTTTTTTCACCATATAACAGATTATACAAAAAGAAGAATTAATATTGAGGTGGGAAAAGAGGCCTAGGGATTTTTCAAAGATTTTCCCAATCAAGCATTTTAACTCAGCATGATAACGTCTGATACCCCTAAATAATATCCAGTGCTGCCAACTGATCGCTTATGAATAAATAAAACAGCCACTGTTCAATACGTTAACCAAAAGTGGAAAATGAACAACTGCAAAAATACCAAGATGATATGGAAGCGAATCATATTTCAAATAAAAAAGCATTTTCAGAAATGCTTTTTCATTTTAAGAATGTGGCTGCATTGTTTGACTCATAAATGGAATTAGTAATCAATAATCCTGTCTAAATTGAAAGGCAAACACTAGACATCACCCTAAACACACCACCCACATATTGAACCACGGTGGCGACAGCATCATGGTTGGAGGACCTGATGAAGGGTGGAGCTTCAGTTTAAAGCAGGACTGCAACTGGAACTATTTAGAAGAAAGAATATTTATGTGTTAGAAAGGTCTAGTCAAAGTCCAGATGTAAATACATTGAAGTACCCCTGGAAAGGATTATAAATGTATTTTTATGGGAGAATCTCCATGTAGTTTGGCACATTTTGAAATGTTTTAACAAAGAAGAATGAACCAAAAAAGTGACATCTCCAATGTCCAGGGCTAACAATCATACCTAGAAATAGTTATAGCTGTCCTTGCAGGATATAATTACATAGATATATTTGACAAACTGAATTATTTTCCTTTCGCTCCACAACGATCCTCTGCCTTGTGTTGGTCAATCTAATCCAAAGAAAACGCTTTACAATTTTGCTATTTTTCATTCAAATTGGTAAATGTTCCTTTTCCTTTTTTCTGTGTTTCCAATTCAATTATTGTTCTTTTTTTTTTCCACAGTACGAGCAGGAGGAGATAAGGCAGCGGGAAAACCAAAAGAAAATCCCGGAGTTTGTCCGTGTCAGAGAAAACCTGAGGCGCACACAGACGTTTGAGCAGCCCTAAACTGCTGCCATCAGCCAGTGCAGCCTCTCACCACTGTGGCCCTAAAAACACTGCCTACTCAGCGATAATTACAAAAACACCAGGCTAATCCAGCATTTGATAATCCTTTGTTCATTTCAATTTGGACTTTATGTGTAGAGACTAAAGTTTTGCAATTATAAAAAAAAAAAAACTTCTATGAACTCAATGGTTTTGTTTCTGGTGAGGGATTTAAAAGTTTTTTGTTTGTTTTGTTTTTTGTTTTTTTTTTACTAAAAATCCTGTATTACTATTGGCTGAGTGAAAAAAACAATGTTCTGATGCCGAATATTTTTTTTAATGTTTTTTTATGCCTCTTCCACCATCTTCTTTTTTTCTGTTTCAGTTTTAAATTATCATATTTATGTCAGTTTCTTTACATTGCAAGTACTAACAAACATTTTCAAAAGCACTGTTTTCTACTAGTAAGACTCCCCTCAGCATTACAAAAATACATGTTGGTTTACCTGTTTCTGTCACGACTTTTGGTTTGTAGTTTATCTGTGTGTGTGTGCTGTGGAAATAAAAGGTTTCATGGTTTGGACTGATCTGTCTCTATATCAGAGCCATTCAAAGCGAAGGGGGATTGATTTGCAGGCAGCTCCTGTCCCTGAGGACTCTCACAGTGCTTTCACAGGCATGTGGGACTTGGTTTAATTAGCTAATCTTTTCATTCCATCGTGGGTCGAGAGGAGAAAGGACAAGCCATCTGCTGGAGGCTTTAAGGTTTGAATAAGCCAGGAATGCCCAAGGGTCTGGTTAAGGCACTGAAGACATTCTGGATAGTCACAGAAACCTCCAGCTGTGGGTTGAATTTGTTTTTTAGCTAATTTTTTTATATATTAGTAGCAAAATCAGGACAAGTTTAATATCTGATGATTGTGACTATATTCACAGTAATATAAATTACTTTGAATGTCATAGTTAGGAATTTGATGCTATTATATTTGATTAAATCTGATATTTCTAACATTAAATATAAAAGTTATAACTTTATACCTCAAAATTCAGACTGAATGTGGAAATCATGACTTTAAATCTAATAATTCTCACTTTAAAAGTCAAAGGTTAATTTGAATTTTGACTGAAAGTCAAAATCACAGTTTTAAAACTCATAGTGATGAAATTCTGTTATTTTTTCTTTAAAAGGCCAAAAATGAGCTTGTATAATTTCCATTGAACAAAAGACATCGGCCTTTATAGGTGAATAGATATCTGGTGTTATGACCAATTATGAATTAACCTGGAAATATTTCTGAATGTAAAAAAGCAGAATAATAAATAATATAGAATATAAAAGCTTATATTTATTTACAGGCATTCATTTGTAACCATAACATTTAATAAAATTCACATATTAATGGTTTTAGCATTCTATCTGAAATAATAATATGCTCTACTAAGGATATTTTGAAGAATGAATCTCAACTTGTCTTACTTTATGATTTATTACTGACCCTTGTTGCATTCAACTAAAAAGTCATATTTAGTTGATTGTGAGACTTTTCTGTAACTTGATAATGATCATGTTTTTGTTGGGATGTTTAATAAAGATGATTTGAGTGCTTAAAGAAATGATATTGGTCCAGTTGGAGCTTATCTACCCTGAGTTCACTTATACTTTCATTACTCTTAGTATTGATTTGCAGGAACATGCTGCTCCTACTGACCAAGGGTCAATTGACAACATTTAGCTTTTGGGTGCATTTGTTAATTACACCCTAAAGCATTGGAAGTCATTGCCTGATGGCTTGAAATGAATAGTTTCATGCTGTAGAAATAAAATAAAAACATCCTAATAACTTTAATTATTTTCTTAGATTTTCATTTCTGAATTTTATATATGTCCAGAAACGTTTTTTTTTTTTTTTTTACTCCTTATTTTTGGGTAATGGGATTTTTGTTTCTAATTAATCATTTATATATTCGAGTTGAGCAATTTAGGCTGCGGTGTTTAATAATTTTCTTAACTCACTACCAAGCTGTTGTTTTTTTTGTTTAAAAAATCCAGTAAAAAAGAACCGTGTCTACCTAAACTCAGCCAAACTACTGTTTTTTTGTGCCTCTTTTCAAATTAAAAGCCCCCCTCCCTCTCTTTCACAGGCGCGTGCCTGGGAAGTTACCAGAGCTGGACGAAACCATTTCAACAGGGGGGTGGGTTATAGTTTAAAGAAAAAATAAATATTATATATAGATGATTCCAAACCCAGACATTTTAATTAGGTACAAAAAATTAACAGAAAATAGAGGTGAGTGAAGCAGTAAGCTAGGATCTGATATCTGAAATTATGATATTGTCACTGTTATTATCAATTGCTCCCATCTGAGAAAAATGGATTGGTCCTGAACAAATGGTCCCAGGCTCTTCTCACATCTGACCGGAGAAAGTATCAAAAACTGCATCGGCCCCTAAAGAGATGCTGTAGCTGAGAGCAACACAAACCGCCAGGTATGTTTAAACTATTTTCTTTGGTTAAAAAACAAAATGCAACGGGCCCATGAACGGGAAACCATCAAAATAATTCATACAAAGGTCAAAGTTTCAGATAGTTAAAAGTCTGTTATTATTAGAAATATCAATATTTTTTATGAAGGAAGCCGTATTAGAAGTTTATGATATGATTGAAAAACATGTTATGTCTTAGAAAAAACTTGCATAGAGGACTGAAGTACGAGTGTTTGAATAATTTGTAATGCGTGAATTTAACTAAATTAGGCTAACAGCAGTCATGGGGAAGTTATTTTTCACATTTTGTACCCATTTATAAATCCAAATTTAGGTTAAGATTTTATTTAAATCGGTAAAATGCATCCTCCTGGTATATAAACGCCCGGGATCTATAGTTTACAACAGATGTATGTTTATCTGCTTTTATTTTACATCTATATGTTGAACGTTGCAGCACTTTCTTTGCTGCTAAGTTAGAAAAACATCATATTTCACTCTGACTTTATAGAAAAGAGCAACCTTTAAACTATTCAGACAAAATATATAAAACTGTGCATAAAGATGTATTGATATACAGCAGAGGAATGATTGTTTTGTTTTCTATACAAGATTAAGGAAGCAACTATATGAGGTGCTGTTACCAAATTATTTCTCATAATATTTTGTATTTCATATTTTTTTTAATCCTATATGTATGTGAGCTTTTTGATTATCTGCTGGATACATCTGGATGTTTTCACTTTAAGCATTGAGTGGAGCAACAGGATGGTTTGTTTTTTTGCAGCTTTCCTCTTCAGCAGCAGAATAAACAAAATCTCCACCAATCCACATATTAGCAGACAGGAAAAGTTACTGAGGTGTCGGGGACAACACCTCTGTGCTGTTGTTGTTACCTCTGGAGTCATCTACCTCTCTTGTCTTTTTGTGACTGTGATGAGTTGTAACTCCATCCAGCAGATGAACTAAACTAAACCCAGCCGTCAGAAATGACACCATCCTAAAAGGGACGAGTGGTTCGATCCACAGCAGGGCCCTCCGCCTCTGGAGAACAATGAAGTCAGTCTTTTATTGGTCCTTGTCATTGAGCTGTGACAGAGGTCTGGAGAGCATATGGCCTTCAGTGGCTGGGAGGAGGCTGGCATGATGCTTAATTATTACTGCTGCTGGCTGCTCACAGCAACACTTTGCCAACTCTCTTGTCCTTTTTTGCCTTTTTGTTGCATTTCTAATCTGTATCTTTGCAAACTGCTCTCTTTTTTGCGATTTCTTCTTCTCTGCTGCTCATTCACATCGGTGCACTTCTCTCTTTCAGTAGCCCACACTCTGATCCCCTTTTTGCTGAATGGATTTTGGCTTTCCGTCAGACTGAAATAAAAATGCAAGCTGTAAAGTCGTTTGGGTTTTCTCGCATAGTATCAGCATTCAGCAGGAAAATCTTAATGATAGGGTTCCAACAGGGCCTGGATCGGGTTTCATGTGAGCCTCGCTGTTTCCTCTGCGAGTCTGGTCCCCGTTGGTAATTCCAGGCCCGACCACAGTGGTAATGAGCAGAGTGGTGGCTGCAATCCAGCGGTCCGCAGCTCCAAGGGGCTCATGGGAATGGGCGGTGTGGGAAGTCTAGCAGACAGTAAATACGCATCATGATGTCTTGTCATAAACATTAACTTCCGTAGATGTTACTCCATACTGAATCAGTAAGAATGGGTGTTGCTTTCATCCTCTCTCATGTTTATAGATACTCATCATTAGCGATGATGGCTCTCTCCCACCAATTAAGATGTTTGGGAGTCCATCAGTCGGCGCTGGAGGGTGGAGACGGTCCTATCACCAGCAGTTCCCACAAGACCCAGATTCTTGTTTTTTTAATGGTTTTTGGCTCTAACCCCAGAATAATCTCAGCACTCCCCCAGTTTCAGGTTCTTATGCACTCTATGACAAATCAGAATCAGCATTTTTTGGCAATAAGCGGCATTTGAGCAAGAGTTCAACCCCAAACCCATCCACCCACCCACTCAACCCAGACCCTCCAACCACAAACTCTTGTGAAACTCTTCAGACACTTATGAGGTGTAAGTGGGGTAAATCCCACACTACCCAGCCTGTGGCTTGATTCATGTCAACGTCTTTAGTTTTTAGATTGCTGCAACATGGAGCCATGTGTCTGCGAGCGCAACATTCACCCAAAAACTGTATGCCTACAGCTCCACATAGTCCCTGTCTCCCGCTTCGGGCCTGAGCTGCTAGCAGATACTGCGGCCGCAGCAGATTTCGGAGGGTTGACACAGGTCTTTTGTTGCAGAGTTGTTTTACTGACTCGAGCGCTTGCCTCATTGCTGCTCATAATGTGTCAGTTCACATGAGCTGCTGTACTGAAAGGGCGAGAGCAATGGGATGCACTGTAATATCCTGACTCACAGAGGCTCGGAGTCGCCCTCATCTCTACAGGAAAGGGCCTGATATCAATCTCCAAACACAGCAGTTCAGACAGGAGATGGGGATTAGAGGCTGAAGCCTCAGCTATAGAGACTTTATACGCTGTCTGTCTCTGAGTCAACTTACCTCCCATCCTGTGTTTTTATCCCTTGATGGGTTTGTTGGTTTGATATTAAGGTGGAAGCTGGTTTGTATTACCAGCAAAACAAGATGAGGCAGACTTTTAAGCTGCTACTTAACAGAGGGAATACAAAAACTTGCTAAGGATAGAATGGTTTAGGGTCGTCTGACAGTTGAGTCCATCAACAAGCTTCTTAAATTGCTTTATTATCCATTTATATCCATTAGTTTCATGCTGTTACTGAAAGCCAACAATCGCATCACCCACCTAATAACTTTTAATTACGTTTCACATTAGTCACTTTATATTCTTTATTACTAAAATGAGAGCAAATGAATTGAAGTTCATTTAAAACACTGCTTTGGTCTAATGAGCTCACTGTGTTTACAAAGATCCACAGAACAATATTAGCCTCTTTGTAAAGATTAACATGCAGTTACACAGATCACTCTGGCCATTGATAGAGCATCATTTTATATCAGGGTTTAAACATTTAATTTTTTTAATAATTTACTTACAGGTGCTGGTCATAAAATTAGAA